TGTGTTGAAAGCATGTGACAGACAGGCAACTGATCTGTTCTGTCTGGTAATATTATAGACAGACTTTCACTGGGGCATGTTTTCTCAGTGACTCGATGAGTATGCTCAGGAAGATAGTGAAGAGCTGGGCCCGAAAGCAGTGGTCGGTGGCTCTACAGAATTCTCGGCTGACAATGATTAGTTTGATTTTCGTGCCAGGATTTGTGGGGGTACAAGGAAATGAGCAAGCGTATAGGCTTGCCGGTAAGTTAGTTAGTTAGTTAGTTGGGTTATCCTCATTGCACTCTAGACATTTCCATAGGTGCTCAGATCCTCCCCTCAGTATGAACCCCAACGTCCGATGGCTAATAGTACCAGTTCTATGTTGGTTAACAAGCCTTCTGGCGTAGCTGGTGTGCGTCTCGTTTTTTGCTGTGCCGATCTTAATTCCCAAGTCTGCCATTCTGGCGAGTGATGTGGATTCACTGACACCAAAGTCCTCTATTCTTCCCATTTCTCTGAGGGCATTGATAATATCAGCATGATCCATAGACTGACCGTCGGTAGTGATAGCGGATCCAGCCAACCTGTCAGCTCTTTCATTTCCATTGACGCCTGCGTGTCCCGGAACAAAAATAAAGGTGACTCCGCGAACAGTGGACTTCTGTAATGATTCAAGCCATTGTCTTCGCACTGAACCTGCCGGAACCCTCCGGGTCATACTCATTGAATCACTGAGTATACACACGCGGGTGTATTTTTGTGTTTCAAGCCAGGCAAGCGCTTGTGTCACTGCCATCACCTCCATCGTCATGCTGCTGGTTGTCATGGAGAAGGCGCCGTTGGCTTCTTTGACTGTTCTGCCCGCTGAGCGTGCTGTAAATGCCCATGCGCTTCTTCTTTGGTGTATAACGGATCCGTCTGTATAGATTATTGCATCTGCTTCGTCTGAATTGAAGGCTTGCCGGTAAGGCTACTGTGAAAGCCGAACAAGCCATGGACCAGGCTGATATACTGAATGCTCTAAGAGAGTTGAGACGTTTGCTTGAACCAACCGAGAACTGTGAATCTGCAACCTTGGTCAGACTGCAAGAACAACATGTTAAACGGTGTGTCGCCAAACAAGAACACTACGCGGGTAGCCAAAGAAGAAGAATAAACCAACACAGAACTGGTGTCGTTAGCCGCTACACGCTGCGAGATTTACTGAGGAGGAGATCCGAGCACTTATAGAATGAGTGGTTCGACGTGCAATGAGAATAATATGTCGACTAACTAACTAATAATTTATCTTCCTTGTAACATTTCAGTCTGTTTAGCAGTAGCGCTGATAGTATGTTATAGTTTGTAGACTCTTCTTCTTCGTCGTCGTCTTCTTCTTCTTCTTCTTCTTCTTCTTCTTCTTCTTCTTCTTCTTCTTCTTCTTCTTCTTCTTCTTCTTCTTCTTCTTCTGTGTTCAAGCGGCTGTAAGCTCCAGTGGAAAGTCCTGGTTGTTCGACAGTTTGGAATTTGGCTTTGTGTCGGGGCCTGAGTTTTGCGTCTACACCAGTTTTACTGGCTTATTTGTGTGCAGTTTGTTGTTTCTTGCTGCTCGGTCTTCGAAAGAAGTTCCCAGTTAGTCGACTCTTACGATATGCTTTTTTGGCTAGGCAGTGGGTCTATTTTTATTTTCCCCACAATGGGGCCCTGGAACCCACACCGGGAGACAATAGTGACATGCCTCTATATTTATCATCTATGGGGGTCGTGTTAGAGCAGTCGATAGGAGACTCGCTTTCAAAACCAGCCGCGACTCGCTGCAGCCCACAGCCGGTGTTCGAAACTGGACGGTTCCCGGTGTCCACCCAGTCTTTAGGTAACACTCTGGGGGTAAATGGAGGATCGTCGCTGTAACTACGGAGTTGCGTGCGGGCGGCGACACAGACCGACAATTTCTTATCAGCTGTCCATACTGGTGGCAGAGTACTTATGGTTTATAACCGTGTGCAATGACGCTGGTTCACCTTTTATCCTCTGTATTACTCACATTTGCTCTTGTCCTCTTTCTCAAAGACGGCTATTAATAATGATACTTTCTACGCGTTGGGTAATTTCTCCGCGTCCTCCAAAATAGTTTAATTAATTCATTTATCTTTTAATGTTCCCGCTTTTTCTCAGCGTGGCCCTAGAGAAAGTTATAAGAAAAGGGAAAGAAGGGTGTACTACAGGAGATATTACAATAATACTTGGCTAAGTAGATGGCATAGATATAGTTCGGGGAAATGAAACAGAGACTATAAAATTAGAGGAAGCCGCTAAGAAAACTGTAACTAGTTATAAGTCAAGACAAGACAGACTAATAACAAGACAGGGTAGGGATCTAACTCAGGCTCGTACAAATAGATACGATGAAAAGGCAAATAAACGGAAACTTATAAGATCAGTCGTGCCTCAGTCGTCTTAAATTTCCCCGAAACCTGGCGCACAACTAAAAGAAAATAGGCCATGAGGCTTTTTTACAATTTTTTTTTTAAATCAAGTCTTTTGGCAAATCTTTGAATGAAACCATCAAAGATGCAAACGACGGGGAATGACGGGGGAAGCAGGAACGATATTCGCAATCTGTTTTAATTCACCACTGATCATAGTTGAAACCCTCTACACTAATACTTTCTTTCTTTGGCGGCGCGCCTGTGTATAATCATGTCTTTCAGACATTTATGCAGCGTATTATGAAATATGCAGACAATGTTATTAACATTATGACATAGGTACAGTAATTACAGTGCAACATCACAGGTTGTACATTCAGATCAATGCGAGGTGGCAACTGTTAGTCAGCCAGCGACCCACCCGAAGTTTGTCGTCGCTTGTAATTCGCGTGCTGCAAATTCGCAAACCTTCCCTGTGTGTGGTGACAGTCAATTGAATGTTTTAGGTCACAGCACGCAGACTTTACTGTTTGCTAAAGTTTGCTTAAACGCAACATTTACCTGAAACTGAAGGGAAAATCAGGATTTTATATGTGTTTTCTGGGTAAGGCATTGGTTCAACGCGTAAATACTTTTGGTTAGACCCAACTTCTACATTAAGGACCATTTTTGATTTGAACGTATATATTTATCGCAAGGAATTTGGTATCACTGACTAAATATTAGGTCATAATCTTTCTTATATTTATACCCGTATCCTTAGAGAACCATACTATTGGCTTATTACTAAGTTATACAGAGTGTATCCTGTTTAACCCAGTACATTTTAAGTGTATTGTCCTAATTTATACAATACTGTATAATCATTTATCCACTTGTACAACCTATATTGTTATTATTTTAAATATTATTGATTTCACACTTGAGTTAGGAGTGAGTTAAGCACACAGGTGATTCATATAGTGAACCGATGACAGTTCAATAACCACAAGTACATGTAAGCTGTCGTTTATCACGTATTATAAACTAAAAGTTACTAATTTAATTAGGGCTCATGAGGTAAGCTGTAATTTAGGAAAGATTCAAGACAGGGCGTATACTACTTGATTCTGGAGTTTAGCATGGTAGCGTATTTCTATAAGAAATTAATTATATAAACCATTTTTACTTTAAACTGGATATTTGTGTTGTCAAACCAAACTGAACAGTTTCAGAAAAACTGTGATGTTTTTCAAAGACAGAATTTACACACACAAAAAACAAAAACTAAAGAATCTGAACACCTTATAAATCACATACATTTGTAAAAATTGTAAATGCTTGTTACATTACATCAGCGTTTCCTTGTCTCCTCCCCCTTTTTTTTTTAAACAAACAGAAAACAAAACAAAACAAACAAAAAAATAGATAAACCTGGGTGCCCGGTAGTTGTGTAAGGGGTTAAAAGCCCCTTTCTAACAAGTATGGAAATTATATAAATTATCTTGATTCATATTATTTCAGGTGTACTATTCATTTTATTTGCCAATGGCACATTGTCTAGTCAGTCAATAACTGATTCACAGAGCATGCTGAGAAAGGTGGAGACAGGCATGCTCCGTGCAGAGTGGCAGGCATCACTTCAGAGGTCCCGGGTAGTTAGCATCCTTTGGAAATTTTCTCCAGGTAATGTCGGTGTGTTGAAAAATGAGTAGGCTGATAAACTGGCTGGTTCTGCATCACTTGGTGGTGAACTGATGTATGACAAGCTGGATGTTGTGGGAGCCGTTTGGGAGCGAGTGAACAGTGCCGAGGAACACATGGATCATTACGGTCTGAGGAGAATGGCACTGCGAGGAGTTATAAAGGGATAGCGAATCTGGCCGAGGCTCAACATTCAGGGGAATGGCGAGACGTATATACAATCAGACAGTTACTGGTACCATCGGAATTTTAACTCTTTGCTTGCCGCTGGGGACAGCGCTTATGGGGGTTGTCCCGAGTGCTGTGATGTCGATTCTTAATTCAACATTCAACATTTTTTTTACATTTTCTTGTGGTTTACATACTTTCAGTCTCACACATCCAATTTCGACAGTCTGAATTTGTTGCCTTCTACAGCATACTAGTTAAGGGACAGTGGATCTGTTCACCATTCCCTACCCCACCCCCACCCCTTTTTCCAGTCTAAAGTAGTGCCCTAGAACCCACACAAGGAAGTTCTTCAGAGGTAAAGGCTATGGAACTAGAGCTAACACAAAAGGGTGAAGGAAATCTCCTTTCATCTTTTTACTTAAATTGTTTGTTTTCAGTTTTAGCGATGCTACTATACTGCTGTTTTCTGGTCATTCAGTCCAAACTTTGGAATTCTAACTATCACTGCTGCTTGTTTAATTAAAACTACTTGTTTTTGTGCAATTTTGTGAAATTGTTTATATTATCAGCCTGTTCCAACAACTGACTATTTGCTTTGGTGGTAGAATCAGCTAGTGTAACCTTTCTGTCATTACCCACAGTACCAGTTTGTTTACTGTACCTTCTTATTTATATTTTCACAGGACTAACATTTTATTTTTTGTGTACATCTTTTTCCCAGTGTAAAAATCTACAACATTCATCACATTCAACAAGATGGCTGAAAACACTGAAGGAGAAGATTTTACTGATGCTGATATATCCAAGATGGGTTTTGATAAAGAGAAAGGAGAATTTTTCGGTCTTCCAGAATCCTGGCTGCAGCTTTTGAAGAGCTCAAATATTTCGTAAGTGTTAAAATTATGCTAAAAACATTTACAAGATCGTACAACATTTACAGATGAATTCAGCAAGGAAAACTGCTGTAACTGGGTTAAAAACAATTAGAATGAATCATGTATAAAAATTCTTACATTCGTGCATCCACACAATCATCTGTGTTGACATTTAAATTCTATGGTTTTTAATAAATTGCTTGCAGAAAAGAGGAACAAATGGAAGATCCTGAAGGTGTCCTGAACATGTTTAAAAACTACTTTGCAGCCGTCAAGCAAAGACCATCTCTGACACAGTTTATGCTGTTTGCTACAGTAAGGGTTTTGCCTAATATTTATATTATATATATACATATTTTTTTTTAAATATCATGTTCTAATTAGTGGACCGGTCATTCTCGCTGCAGATCAAACTGTTCATTATAAGTAACTATCAGTAATAGGATCCCCTTTTCAGCATATCCCTTAGTGGTGACTTAATGACACCAGTTCCTTGTTGGTTTACTATTTTGGCTGTGTGTATTTGAGAAGGGTGGGGGAATAACTACCCCCCCCCCCCCCACCCAACAGTGTTGTAAAAGGCGACTAATTGGGGGTATTTTTTATCGAAATTGTACTGCATCTGTGTGAGAGGCAAGGTACCAACAGTCGATATAAAAATAAGCCAGATAAGTAAAACTCAAGTTCTGGAACAATACAAAAGTCCAGACGTGGATGAACCACCAGAACTTTTTGCAGAAGCTTACAGCTGGTGAATGCTAGAATGAAGAAGAAGATTCACAATGTTTCTTTGGTCTCCTACATAGAAGTTTTGCCTATTTTCACCCTTTTTAATATGATTGTCTAGCAGTCTGGCCAGTGTTGTAGATTCATAGTAATCATTTGGTTTGTTTAATCACTCTGAAGACATTCAGTTTAGCAGCTCCTAATGTGAGTTATAGGGTGGAAAAAGAATAGACCCACTGCGCCCCTCCCCCCCCAACAACAAGCAAGTTGTAAAAATTGGCTAATAATGGGTGTTTATTTCAAAGTTGAGTGAATGCTAAAATGAATAGAAGAAGAATATAGTAGCCCTATCATTCATTTCCTACACTGTCCCTACCAGCAGTTATTTGTAGTATATCATCATCACTATGAGCTGTGTTGATAAGATGGGCTGTCATGTTTCGCCATCCCACATGATAACCATTAATCAAGGATCAGGTCATTGCCCTTGTCTCGTCACATCCATATTGCTAAGCCATACAGCAATCAACTTTCATTAGCAGAATGAAAAGTAATAAAACACAACACAGAAAAGAACTGATACTATAATGACTATGTATGATATTAAATAAGTTAATCATAATGTAATCATTATAGAGCCAGTTCATTGCCTTTTCATTTAGTTTTATTTTGGTCACATTATTTTGATATATTCTTCATTCTTAGCCTGTTTCTCTGCCTCTTTGAGGTGACAGATGCATTTCATGGTCTGATAACTATACCTTTTCATTTTTATGTTTCCTTTGTCTTTCGATCTCAACTTATTTCCATTGCATCTGTGAGTGCCGGTCAATACATGTCAGTTTTCTTTATCCTAGGATGAGGCAGCTGACCCTAATGCAGTGGACAGCACAGATGGTGATAAACATTTAATACGACGGGAGCCAAAAACAAATTTAACTGACAGGGAAATCAATGAAACACTGAGTAAGTTATTTTTGTTTTTTTGTTTTAATATTTACAATTTTGTATTTGATATGTTTTACAGTTCTATTTATCTAGGTTCCCGTCCTGACATATGGGTGTGAATCATAGGCAACGACAGCTCACAGAAGCCATCTTCAGGCCTCCGAAATGAGGTATCTGAGAAATGTGGTCCAAGTGACTAGAAGGGACAAAGTGTGCAATCATACAATACGCTATGACCTTGAAACCCAGGTCTCACGAACTTAAGTGAATCAATCACAGTTACGATGGCTTGGACATGTAAGCAGAATGGGAGAGAATCGGCCATCAGACAAGCATGGGAGGCCAAGAACCAGACCACTAGGACGAACTAAGGTTCGCTTGAAAGACAACATCCAACAGTCCCTGACGACAGATGACTCGAATGGAACACTTACTTACTTACTTAGTCACTCCTCTTCTACCTTGGGGTGTAGAGGTTTGCCAGAGAGATCGCCAGACTTCTCTATCAGAAGTATTAACTCAAATGGAACAAAGCCAAAAATAAAATTGCTGTTATACCCAGAGGTAAGGGCACTGATAGATCAGCATTCACACCCAGAAGACATCATCATCTATACAGATGAGTCCATAAAGCGTCGATTAAGGTCAGCATGGGAATACACAGTGCAAAGAATAGGGAACAAAACAAGAGGACAGCGGCACTTACCAAGCAACCACCTCAAGCATTACCATGGAGATAGCCGCTGCTTCTAGAGCACTTGCATGGGCATCAGAAGAAACAGCCAAACATGTAGTATTTTATCAGATTCGATGAGCATGCTTCAGAAGATAGCAAAATGTGGTGTGCGCTCTGAATTGGTAGAAACCATTCAAAAATCGCACTTAACCTCCCTCACCTGGATCTACACACCTGGTCAGGCTGGCGTAAAGGATAATGAGTAAGTGGACCAGTGGGCAAGCAGTGCACCAACGCATTTGAGAAGAAGCATGGACAGAGCAGACATCATCAGTGCTATATAAACTAGGCTAGTGGATTATGACGAATCTCTGACAGTAACACGGTTGTGTGACATGGGAGTAGAGCATGGTGAAGCACGTCTGTGCTGCCTTCGAGGCCAAGAAAGGAGACATTATTACCAACCTCTCATGGAACAGTTTGTAGAAGTGCCTTGGAGTGGCTGTTGCATTTGAGGACTGAGCATGCCTAGGAATTCCCAATGTGGAGTGAGGTTGATTGTGATAACATAATGTAACACGTCTGGAACAGACAGGTTAAAATAACAGCCAACTAGAAGAAAAACATTAAAAGTAACAACCACAATATAATGGGTAGAAGTTTCAGTTAGGAATTACCAGTTAAACTGATTGTGATAAAGCAAGCACAAATTATAACGTGTATGCCAATTTGTATACCTCAGTGAAGATTCAAACCTATTTTCAGCAAGCATCTGTTGGCTACACTGCTATGATAGGTCCCATTAGAACCATACATTTCTGTATATATTCCAACTATAACGGTTGCGTTTGGTTTTATTCAGCAAACATCCACAAGGTGTGAATTTGTGTGAAAAAGAACATGGTATTTTAAGCTTAAGCCTCATGGTGTGAGAAGGGTCTTTTACTGTCTGTATTTATTTATTTCAGATTTGATTTCTTTACTTAAAATTTGATACATTTAAACTGACTTTTAGTATGGTCAGTTTGGTACTCTGTAGAAGGTATATAAAATAATTACTTCTTTAGATTTGTGAAAGCTTTTTCCTGTAACTACAACACTCTTGCCTTATTGAAAACTGTATATTTTCTCAGGGAAAATGGCTAGTCCTGGTGATGCAAATGACAAATACGAAATTAAAGAAGTGCTTGGTGCAGGGTAGGTAACCCATATTTCTACAAATCTTTGTGTAATTATTAAATTACTTTAACTTTGAGTCTTAGGGGGTTTAGCATCACAAGCCCAGGGGGTAGTAAAGAAAGTAATAAAATTGGCCTATCATATTCTTTGGGCTTAAAGGTAGGAACCTATGAACGTGTGATGCGTTCCTTGGGACTCAAAGAGTTAAGTAACTTTTAGACAGGGAAGACCATTTTACACAATGCATTAGAAAGAAAATGCAGACGATCCTTACATTTTCCCTAACAATTCGCTTACGTAACAAAGTAGAGCAGAAGGAGAAAAAAGGAAAATGATAAATTTATGCATTTGCCAAACATGCTTTTGTATTGTTACTTAATTTTCAAACTGAATTTTGATGTATATGAACATAACATACTTTATACTGTATTTACTCTTTGACGTGTGCGAATGTTCGCTTGATACAACGCACACTTGCCAAGTATCCATGGTATGTTAAATAGTGTTACAGTAACAAGTCACCATTCCCGCCCAACAGCAATAAGGACGCCGGATACATGTTGAACGTCAAACAGAATTAATGTATTTCTAATTTCAACACCAAAACAATGAAAGGCATCACGAGAATAAAACGTTACACCGCCACAGTCATTACTACTGGCAAGGCAACACACACTACGGACGCTCTGGGCTACTTTTACTGCCACCCTGTTCCGTGGTCAACTACGAGCAAACATTACCTGCTCGTGCAAACTCACTGCTCGTGGTTATGTGTCTACCTCTATGACACCCATCCCTTGGGTACACTGTCATAGCAGAATCATACAGGCCGATGCACAGTACATTGTGAAACTTGTCCAGACCTTTCGTCTGCGGCCACACGAGCGTCTGTCACGCTGGCGCGACCGCTGTAACAACACTCACAGACAGCCCGTACCCTACCGCCAGCGTAACACAGTTATGCAGGACCAGCCTGGATCCATCCAGATTAGAACAGGCTTCCTACACAGCGTAGTAGAGTCCACCGTTACTCACTCTCTCTCTCTCTCTATTACGTTCAATGTGTGCGCACCGCACCAAGTCCCACGTTCAACAATGAACTTCCCTTCCCATATATTGCACACAACAGCTTATTCCCCCCTTCTCCAGCAAACAGACACCATTTGTTTCTGTTTGCTCGAGACAGGACCGCCGTGCTCAACACATGGCAATATGCAGTTCATAATTTACATAACATGCACAATATGAATAATATATTTCACACATAATCTTAAGCATGTTAGGTACATTACTATGCCTCAAAATAACAAGACCAGAAAAACCTAGTCACACAGTTGTCCTTGATAGGAAATCTGGGATCACGTTTTCCTCCCCTCGGACATAGTGGACAGTGAAGTGGTATGGCTGCAGCATCAGCGCCCATCTAAGCACCCTTGCATTCTTCACTGCTCCCGAACACAATGCCTGCAGTGGTTGATGGTCAGTGAAGATAGCAAAATGGTTACCGTACAAAAACCTGGAGAACTTGTTGACCCCAAACACTATGGCCAGGCACTCTCGTTCTATCACACTGTAGCGTGTCTCCGCTGGGGACAGTTTCCTACTGGCATACAGGACTGGATGCCATGTACCTCGGAACTCCTGTACGAGGACACTGGCCACTCCCACATCAGAGGCATCACATGAAATACCAAAGGGTACATTCAAATTAGGTAAACGCAACAATGGTAAATTATTAAATGCACTTTGTAATTGTCTCAAGGATTCACCACATTGTTCGTTCCACCATATCTTGTTTGGCATTCCCTTCTTAGTCAGATCAGACAACACAGACGTGATGGTGGCATAATGGGGAATGAATTTTGAGTAGAAATTACTCAAACCCAGCAATGCTCGAACTTGCTTTTTAGTCTTAGGGACAGGAAGGTTCAGAAAACTGTGAACAGTGGATTGAACGGGTTTTCTTACCCCTCTGCCTATGACATGACCAAGGAACGTTACTTCCTCGACTGCAACCTCTACCTTGGTTGGTCTGACTGTCAATCCAAACGACCGGATGCGCTCCAACAAGCTTCTCAACCCTTGTATATGTGCTTCGATGTCCTCATGAAACAGGAGAATGTCATCCAAATAATGAATTATATCACTACGATCACGAACCAATCTCCTCACCATCCTTGTGAAGGTGGCAGGAGCATTACAAAGCCCAAAAGTAAGAAATCGAAAGTGATACAAACCCCTGACGGTTTGGAAAGCGGTATATTTTTTTGCTTCTTCCGCCAACGGTATCTGCCAATAACCTTTTGCCAAGTCTAGTTTAGTGAAATATTTCGCATTAGCCAAAGAGTTAAACATGTCCTCCATATTTGGTATCGTTTCTGCGTCTATCCTTGTAATGCGGTTAAGGCGCCTGAAGTCGATACAGATCCTTAACGTTCCGTCCTTCTTCTTCACAGGCACTATAGGAAAAGAGTAGGCGGACGTCGATGGTTCAATCACTCCCAACCGAATCATGTCATCAATCTCCCTGTCTATTTGCGATTGATAGTGAAGGGGTACCGGATATGGCTTGAGTTCAACAGGCTGACAATCGGTTAATTCAATGGAGTGGACTGCTTTTGTGGTGACGCCCGGTATGTCAGATAAAATATCCTCGAATGAGGCCAGCATTCTCAGAATTTGACTCCGTTTCTCTCCTGGTAGTGCATAGGACACCTGTACATCCTTCCAGGACTCCTTGGGTACTAATGGTGGTAATTCCATCTTCAGTGGAACATCCGACTTGTCCTCCCCCATACATTCCTCCACCACATGGCAAAACCCAGCCTTTCTTGAGTTATTATCATGTGCATTAATCTCCTCCTCATTCACAGAGTCAATAACACCCTCCAAATTCGCTGGTCTGGTCATGTACTTCTTGATCATATTTATGTTGTAAACCTTCAGTTTACCATTAACATTGATCAAGTAATCAACCGTGGAAATTTTCTTAACCACTGTAAATGGTCCTTTCCAGCAGTCCAACAGAAAATTTGTTTTATCTGGTAACAGGACAAGAACTTCGTCATCCGGTTCAAGTACAATTAGCTTCCGATTTCGATTAGTATAATCTCTTTGTTGTACTCCAGTTTTCTCCAGATTACTCCTCGCGATTTGACAAGCAGACATTATTCTATGTCTCAGTTCTACCACAAAATCTGCATAAGTCCGTTGTGCTTCTTTTTTTTTCTTTTCCTAACCAGGCGTCCTTTAAAACAGACAATGGGCCCCTGGGGTTCGTACCATATACTAACTCGAACGGTGAAAAACCCGTACTTGACTGTGGTACCTCGCGATACGCAAACAATACAGCTGGAAGGTACTTGTCCCAGTCCTTAGGGAAAGCCGACGTAACTTTTGCTAACATGCTCTTCACCGTGCCATTAAAATTTTCTACAACACCATTTGCTTTCGGGTTGTACCGGGCAGCAAAGACATGGGCAATGGACAACAATTTTTCAAAAGATTTCATAGATTCAGAAATGAATTGCGACCCATGGTCCGAAAGGATAGTATCTGGGAAACCCAGACGAGAAAAAATAAGCATTAAAGACTCCGCTACAGCCTCAGATGTAATGTATCGTAAAGGGACACATTCGACCCATCTTGTAGCAAGATCTATGAAGGTAAGTATAAACCTGTTCCCTCTCTCAGACATGACCGATAATGGACCTACTATGTCTATTGCTACTTTCTCGAATGGGCGATAGTGCAAATATGTACTCTGAATTGGAGCCCTCTGTAATGCACCTCTCCTAGACATCAACTGACAGTCCTTACATGATCGGCAATAGTTACGAATATCCGTAGAACACCCTGGCCAATAAAACTGAGATAATACTCTTCTCTGCGTCTTACCGATGCCCAAATGCCCCGCAAATGGGGTATCATGTGCAGTTTTCAAAACTTCAACCCTATAGATGAGTGGTACAACAAGCTGTTTGTAGGAGTTGTTGGCTCTCTCAAAATACCTCATAAGAATGCCATTTTTTATGAAGAAGTACCACTTCCCTCCCCTACTTTTCTTATATCCAGAGTATTGTGCCTTAAGAAAATACTTCTTTAAAGTTGGGTCCGATTGCTGGCATTCCTTGAAACTACCCTGGGCCCCTGGTTTTGATGTAATGTTATGTTCTTCCGAGGTTATGGTTTCTGGAATAACCAGCTGACTTCCATCAGAAGCCTCCACAACTGCATCGGTTTTGGCGTATTCATTTTTTTGAATTTGTTGGGCTCTTGTGACCACTGCGTTTGCCACTCGTTCGTGAGCACTGTACCAATGTTTGATTTCTTCTTCAGTTGGTTCCTTTACACCCTTTACCGTTCCCAACATTATTCCCGCAGCTGGGTGTCGCAAAACGCACACCTCTGCATGACCCTTGAAAAAACAGCAATCCAAAAATGCTCGAGCCAGCGGGTAAGTCTCAATTCTTCCCCCAAAGGTTCTACATTTTACACTTCTTCCCAAATAGTCAGATTTAGGCACTAGGTATTTTGCAACCCCGATTACATTGGCGCCACTGTCCCTTAACACAGTACAACTTTTCTGACCCACATACCCTTTATGGATGGGTAACCCCCCGATCTGAAAGGTTGCTGATAAGGTGGGGTATATAACTTGGGGTCTTACTTTCACTATGTCATTGTATATTTGGGTAGATCTACCGTTGTCTCCTACCTGTGCCGCACTTGCTTTACCCTTTACTACTTTAGGGCATACACTACGTTTGTGTGGTCCTGAACACAGGAAACACTTAATAGTTCTAGATCTGAAAAAACTTTTTCCCGGTGGGTTGTCATCATCCCTTTTATCCCTATACTGGCAGTCCTCAGATCTGTGTCTCCAGGACCCACAAAATTTACAGCCGGGCTGCTCATTATTAGTGAGGCCCTTCCACTGTTGCTTCCCCTGTTTGGGCCTCTGGACCGTTGTCGAATCCTTATTCCTAAAGCTCCCATGATTCTGTGTAACCGGAGAAGGTCTGACCTGAAGGCCTGCCGCTGCTGGGAAAAAATCGTCAATTTTCTCCTTATGTATCGCCTTCCCTGGATGAGCTGTGATATATTGTTCACCCAGTGTGATCATATCCTCCAAACTCCTAGGTTTTCTTTCTTGAAAAAAAGTACACAAATCATTGCTGCAGGATAATAATACCTTGTCTCTCAAAATAAGATCAGCCAATTTATCAAAAGATGTGCCGACCTCTGCCAAGTTCACCCACCTGAAAAAAATGGTTTTTACTTGAGCAACATACTCAGAGAAACTGACATCTGGTGTAGGCATCAGTGTATGAAACTGATTCCTATAACCTGCCTCTGTTAACAACCTAGATGCCAACAATTTCTGACGTACAACAACATACGACTTTCTTTCCTCTTCTGAGAAATTACTAAATGTTATTAGTACTTTCCCAGTCAGTAGGTCTCGCAGTCGAGACACCCATTGTGCTTCTGGGATGCGTCCACTGCGCATCGCATCTTCAAAACGGTCCAAATAAGAATGAATATCATCCTGGATACCAAGGTAAGGTAACCTTGGCTTGTAGTTGCTCAAATCATGATCACCATAATCTTTGTTACCTTCCTTTGCATCCGCCGTCTTGCTGGCCTCTGCCAGAGCTATAGCCCTATCTCTTTCGATCCGAGCTAATTCCAGATCTTTATTAGCTGTAACTGTCATGGCTTCTACCTCTGCCATCTCCCTCCTATGGGCCCTCTCCGCAGCTCTCTCTTTCCTCATGGCGGCCTCTCTTTCAGATAGCTCTCTCATCCTAGCCTCTGCGAAGGTGACTACATGTTCTGCCTCCAGGCCTAGGTCTCTAGCCATCTGAACGAATTCGCTGAATGACATGTCAGTATTTTTACGCGGTATGACGAGATGCTATAAAATGGCACACTAATCACGCACTTAGACCTTTACAATATTCACGTAGCCTAAACTTAACTGGACGACCTAAACACACTACTTTGACGATGAATAACAGATCAAAAGACAAGAAACATAGGGCTACCAAGCATACACAATGCAGCGAACAATGCAATAAACTTTTGAATCCAAAAACTAACCACAAAGTACATCACCTCATGAATATCGCATCCAAACAATGATGGTGAAGCATTTCCAATTCACACTCAGAAGCAGCTTAGCGGAAATCGATCGCTCCACTCACAGGAATACCGCAACTGTAAATATCAGCTGATCAGCGCTCTTCATTAAACACGCTTAGAAACATGACACACGGGCAGCATCCATCCTTGCAAAACCATATTTGATCTCCTTCAGTGTCACTACATGCTTCACAGTTCATTGACTTTAGGTAAGTGGTTTCCTGGCTTGACCTCGAAGAAAAAGATCACAGCAAAGTCAAGTTCTCCACTGCGACGTCTCCGCTTGACGGCCTTGATCTCAGTGACGCAACACGGGTTGACTTCGATGACAGGCGATGATATCTCCTCCCAGCGACCAATTCTGTGGGCAAGACTTTGGTTCCCAATGAAGAATTCTCTAGGCCAGGTTTCAGTGCCTAATTATGAATTCTCTGGGACAGGCTTCGGCCCCCATTGACGATACTTCTGACTAAAGAACAAAACCAATGGGACAAAATGTCGTATCACACTTGTGACCAGAGGTCCCTCATTCTTTAAAGGCTTGGCTCCCCATTGACGTGGGCGAATGTTCGCTTGATACAACGCACACTTGCCAAGTATCCATGGTATGTTAAATAGTGTTACAGTAACAAGTCACCATTCCCGCCCAACAGCAATAAGGACGCCGGATACATGTTGAACGTCAAACAGAATTAATGTATTTCTAATTTCAACACCAAAACAATGAAAGGCATCACGAGAATAAAACGTTACACCGCCACAGTCATTACTACTGGCAAGGCAACACACACTACGGACGCTCTGGGCTACTTTTACTGCCACCCTGTTCCGTGGTCAACTACGAGCAAACATTACCTGCTCGTGCAAACTCACTGCTCGTGGTTATGTGTCTACCTCTATGACACCCATCCCTTGGGTACACTGTCATAGCAGAATCATACAGGCCGATGCACAGTACATTGTGAAACTTGTCCAGACCTTTCGTCTGCGGCCACACGAGCGTCTGTCACGCTGGCGCGACCGCTGTAACAACACTCACAGACAGCCCGTACCCTACCGCCAGCGTAACACAGTTATGCAGGACCAGCCTGGATCCATCCAGATTAGAACAGGCTTCCTACACAGCGTAGTAGAGTCCACCGTTACTCACTCTCTCTCTCTCTCTATTACGTTCAATGTGTGCGCACCGCACCAAGTCCCACGTTCAACAATGAACTTCCCTTCCCATATATTGCACACAACACTCTTGTATAGGCCAAAGTATTTTAACCAAAAGTTGTTTATGAAAATTAGTGTGCAGTTTATATTCAAGATACCTATCTTGTGCCGATTGGTCTATAAAAATATAGGTCTAGCCGTATATGCCCTATACGCCTTGTAGTGAGTCTCATTTTCTCCCGGATAATTTATGCCCGACAGATGACGTCAGTAATAAATGTGAGTGGAATATTTTGAATCTAACTGGGACGACACGGGAATTGTTGAGTCTAAACTTCACCGGAATTATAGAGAAATGCTGATAGTCAAACTTTGTAGGAAAATGGGAAGTACGATGAATCATGGTCCAAATGGAATTCGTGACACTGAAGGGACACGGAAAACGAAGCGGGGATTAGAAGGCTAAATAATACTGTAGAAAGGGCTGAGGGGCAGTCTCGTTTGGGTCCAACTTGGCCAAACAAGCTGGCGGGCAATATGTCTGCGGGCCGTGTTAGTTTTTTTGTCAGGACAGCTGCTGTGTTTTCGTTCATGATGCTAGTGTAGGACGATTGTGATTTCGGATAGAAGGTAATAATTGATACTTTTGATATTTGAGTTATAATGTGTGCCTGGACAGTAGTCTATTTCATGTGCTGGCTGAGGAAGCCGCGAGTAGAAGATTAAAGTGCTGAACAGTATCGTGTTGTTGTTACAGTCATCCATTTTCTGCTCGTCATGTGATGTCGGTGTGTGAGATAGCAAGCGTGCGATAATGCGAGCCAGATAGGAGATAAAGGAAAGTCATCGCACGCCTAAAGGTGTGGAAAAAGGACCTTTTTTTTTATGTTTATGATTTTAGGCCTACATGTTACTTGTACAGAATTTATCAATAAACAATACTCCATTTTGAAACATAACTTATGAAAACAATACCGATAATTTACCCCATTGTTGTCCGCTGCCAAATCCAATTATTTCTTGCCATAAAAAGCCTTGCTCAGCCATAACAGGCTTTAAATTCACTCAGACACATTCCACTGATGCCTGATAATTGACTTGATAGGAACTATAACATTTCCACAGACATGAAAAACCCATATGTCCATATTGTCTTGACATATTCAGCAGATTGGTTTCTTTTTCCAGATCTTTCACCTTCTTGCCACAAAAAGATTGTTAACTTTGGAATTTTTTTTTTCAAGAGCATCTTTCATTCCAGTCCATTTTACATATTTTTTGTTATCCACATCGAACTTCCTCTCAGCTGCTCAATTTACATTTTCTTGCACATGACCCACTACTTGCAATTTAAATTTACAGCTGTGACTTTCTCTTGTTTTGCCCATCTTTGACTGTTTACAGGAACTACTGTTTCAGTTTTGTTCTATGGATGAAATTATTTTTTCTTGAGTTGTTTCAACAGCATGCGACCAATACATGCATGTGGCCTATACATGCATAAATACGGTATATAAAATACATTTATCTTTTATGGGACCCACGGGGTCAAGGGAATAAAGACAGACCAAAAATAAAATAAGATGATGTTCTGCGCACAATCACAAAGAATTAGACAACATCCCATAGTTGAGAGCTTATGCTCCAATGGGGAATAAAAGGCAGAACAAGAAGATATAAATCTTCATCAAAATGTTTCACAGTGATACAATATAAGTAAAGTAAAGATCCCGTTTCATGTCTTAGGTGCATATGGGAAGAGCATCCCATATTTTTACAGACCAATCGGTACTAGGTGGGTAATGTGGTCAGCATTACGCCAGCTGTCTTTACTTCCCCAGGGCAGCCATCCAGGTACCCATTTTAGGCTGGTTCAACTAGCGACACCCCATACCGTGATAAAAATCCACGCAGCCAACAGTGGGATTTGATCACGGTACGTTGGAATTACTAATCGGACTCGCAACTCCTAAGCCATGACAATATACCAACACTAAATTAATTTTTTCACCAAATTGTACTCACAGGGCATCAGGCACAGTTCGTTTGGCTAAACTCAAAACTTCAAGCCAGTTGGTGGCCATAAAAATGATGGATTTGAATCGGCAGCCACGCAAGGACCTCATCATTCAGGAAATTGAGATCATGAAGCAGAACAGACATGTCAACATTGTCAACTTCCTGGATTGCTATTGTGTTAAAAATGAATTGTGGGTAGTTATGGAGGTGAGGTTTTGTGTGTGTTTAATCAACTCTTTTCATCTACCTGTATTTTACTGAGACCCAGCGAAGGATGTTTACACTGTAATCTGTCAAGCATGTCATAAGAGTCAAGAGATGGCTGGCATGAGATTAGCTACATCTTTCTGTAGGAAACTTTAGCTGTAAAATTCTTCTTCTTCTTCTTCTCCTCCTCCGCCTCCTCCTTCTTTTTCTTCTTCACCTTCTTCTTATTCTTCTTCTCCTTCTTCTTCTTCTTCTTTTTCTTCTTAGCATTCACTGACTGTAAACTCAGGTAGAAAGTTCTGTTTGTTGTCAACTTCTAGACTTTGTTCTTGTTCTGGAACTTGAGTTTTGCCTGCACATTAATTTTATAGAGCTGGCTTAATTTTATGCAGACTGTTGGTTCTTCACCGCTCAGGCAAATGCACTTTGACTTGGAAGGAATCAACCATAATTAATCGCCTACTACATCATGCTTAATAGGGAAATATTAGTCTTTTCTTTTTCGCCCTTCAATAAAATGAAACTAATCATGAACAAGTTTAAATTTTGCTTCATGTGAATTGACTGAAGGTTTTTTTATTTTATTTTTATTTGTCTTGTGCTTTTTTGGGTGATTTGTGATGAATTTGTTGACTGTCCTAAATTCATTCTTTCTTTGTAGTAGCGGTTGATTACATCACTGCCGGCTTGCTAGGCCCGTCACCTAATGAGGCAAGAAAAAAGCTACCTGATTGATGCATATCTCCACATAGAGGAGCCATTGTCCCATTAACCAGTGAATGCAAAGAAGAAAAAGATGTAGAAGTGTAAAATTTTTAGTTGAAATTCTTGCGGTTCATTTTGTAGAAATCAGAACAGCATTTTCCATGAAAATTGAAAAAAAAAAAAGAGGGATCTGTCTACCAGTTAACTTGACAGACACTATTTCACAGGCCTTTGAAACTGAGACAAAAGCACACCTGACTAATCAGATCAAATGTTACATTTGCATCACACTTTTTTTTTCAGTGCACTTCCAATCACTTTTCTAGAAAAGGTTCAACCCAGTGCTAAAATTTAAAATATTCAGATAAAATATCTAAAAAGTACCAAAACATTGGGCATGGTACTAAAAGTACAGTTTTGCTTGACAAGGGTCAAACAGTAAAAGATTTGAACGAAAGTACCAACTTTGGCAGCCCTGCTCTTGACTGATATAGTTGCAAGATTTGTTTTGGAATGAAAAACAGATTGCTCCAGTCAGCATTATAATATCAGTAAAGTAAACCCAGTTTAACCTTTCTGAAATAAATATTGCAGATAGAAAGACAAATAATATGATCACTTTGATTCTTTCAGTATCTAGATGGTGGAAATCTGGCAGACGTCGTAACGAGGTTTGTTCTGGATGAAAGACAGATCGCCACAGTTTGTCATGAATGTCTGGGAGCTCTTGCATTTCTGCATAGTAGAGGCATTATTCATAGAGATATCAAGAGTGACAATATACTGGTGGCTTTGAATGGAGCTGTCAAACTGACTGACTTTGGCTTCTGTGCCCAACTTAATCGGGAGAAGAATGCCAGGAACACAATGATAGGAACACTGTGCTGGATGGCCCCTGAAGTAGTTGCCAGGTAAATTTGTGTTTGGATATATTCTTGATGTTTTGTTTTTAGTTGACTACAGAAAATCAGTTGACTGTTCATTAATAAATCATTAATTGACTATATGAATCTCTGTAAATTGCATATGACAATGAAAAACTTGTTGCACATAAACATCCCCAGAGAGTTGCGTGGCAAGGTCAAGCAGTTTATTACTAGGACTAAAATCCATATATGCACGGCTCTCTAGCATAGTTGGCTAAACCCAATTGCGCGGAGACTGGGTGACAAACTCCTTGTGGTCCAGGTTCACTCCTGGGGGTAGGCAGAAAAGCCAAATTTTCTCCCAGATTTACGGTATTTACAATGGAATCAAGGCCGAAAGGTTGCGATATCCATAATACCGAGCCTAAGGATTAACAACTCATGGCTTCTGGATACTAAAACAAGCAACAAATCCATATATATAAGGTTAAAGAATGCCCATGGCGTCTTTGAAGAAGTTTCCCCTAAAGATAAAATTGAGGAAAAAAGTCAATGACTGCACACCAAGAAAAAATTAGATATTCACCATGCTAATGACACAGTGTTATGAAGATTGTCTAATTATTCATAGTACAACTTCAGTCATTATCACAACACAAATCTAAGTAAAATGTGAAGCAAAACAAATTTCATTTCGGTCATATAAATAATTGCATGATATATAAATTTTTAATAACAAATATTTACTCTGAGAACTCAATCAACACTTAACTCAACTCAACACCATATATCCCAATTATAACTCTGAGGGTTAAACAGGATATTTTTGAATAATTACTACTACTATTACTGCTGTTCATTAATGTTATAGCTTACACAATCACCCCAGAATTGGTCTCTTCTTCTTCTGCATTCACCCTTAAAAGAGTGGTTGAGAAGGTGTTTTGTGGTTTACAGGTAGCTACGATATCTGCTTAATTCAGCCCGAATAAATCTGATTTCACCAGACCCCTTATTAGTTTTTGTTATGATTATATCACATCGGACACGGGAGTGCAGAAAGTGGCCAGCAGTGCTACGGAGGTGAAAATCCAACAGTTGATTCAGGACAATTCATGCCCAGGTGATCTGATTATCTATACAGATGGTTCAGTGTTGAAAGGAAAGAGAAGTGCCATTGGGGTTCATAGCGAAAGCCAATGGAAAATCTTTAGTGCAAAACAGCCTGGCATACGACATCAACATCTAACATGAGAATGAAGGTGGAGGTGGTAACTGCAGATCTCCAATAGCTAGAGAACAAGATGCATACACATGTCGTAATTGTAACAGACTCTGAAAGCATTCTGAGAAAGGTGAAGACAGGGATGCTTCGAGCAGAGTGGCAAGCTTCACTAGAAAGGTCATGTATAGTGAGCATACTTTGGATCTTTTCTCCAGGTCATGCTGGTGTGGTGGGTAATGAACAGGCAAACAGATTGGCTGGATCTGCACCACTGGATGGCGAATTGATACATGACAAGGCAGATGTGGTCAAGGCCCTTTGGGAACAAGCAATGGAATCAGTAGAGATAGAAGATAATTATGGCCTGGAATGAGGCATCTGGGTGAAACCAGAGGGTCTGGCCGGCTTAATACACTCAGAGGAAATGCAAAATGGCCATATAACCAGATTGTGACCGGTACCATCAGTATTGGAACTCTGCGCTGGCTGCTGAAGATGAGGACGGAGCATGCATGGGAAGTCCCGAGTGCTGTGATGTCAATTCTTGACTCAACTCACTTGTTATGATTATCAGGGGGCAGTAGATCTGTTCTAATTCTCATTCTCTTTTCTATGTGTTTTGTTGTCTTCTTCTATTTCTTTGCCTCTGTGGTTCCAGTAAAAGACATTCTAGTCATACTATTATTGAAATTTCTCTCAATGTATTTCTAAATCAAGGGTTATGCCTCAGAGATTAACACCTCAGGCAAAAAACTAATGTGTCCTTTTTGCTGTTCACTCGAGAACAAGTTCAACTCTGCCAGTACTATGCTGACATCTCATACATATGCCTGTCACTTAAGTTGATGAGTAATGGAGAAGGTTACATCAGTGAAAAATGTTTCACCACATTACTACTTGTTAGTATGTTACCAGGAAGCAGAGATTAGTAATATTGTAACCAACCATGCTTGTCTTAACCCTTTTATCCCAGGAACACTAAAAAAAAAAATTACGTTAATGTTAGATTTCCAGGAAAAAAAAATTCATTTTAAACAAATATTTTACACAGGTCACAAATAAATTAGAAATTATCTAAAAAAAATTTTCCCTAAAATATGTTAAGATATACAACAAAAGTGATCAATAAACACGAACAGGGAGAAGCGTCAAATGGAATACATTCCCTGGGGCCTAAAAACACATGTATCCTGTGACTCATGCCGTGACCCTTGACCTCTATCACTAAGGCTTATGGGGAAACTCTGATGTCACTTTGGCTTTAAAATAGTCATTTAGCCGAAAGGGAAACTGCCTAAAATACTGTTGTTAGTTAATATGGTCATATCCTGACCTCTTAATAATTTGCACAGGCAGGAAAACGGCCAGCCAATAGCGTTAACTATGCCCCTCGTAAACAGATCACTATAGAAAGTCGGAAAATTTACATTTACAGGTAACTGAACCCAACCAGAAGTGTGATTTATTTTTTTATTTTTTAACTTCTTGGGGTGAAAGGATTAAAAGGCAACTAAGGAGGGTAAGACAAATGTGATGTAGGCGAGCAAGAAGTAGACAGCAATACTATAAGGCACACATCTATTTTAACATCAGGATGGTAGAAACATAATTTGAGCTTAATATATTTTAACATGCATTGATTATAATTCCAAGTTTGCTGGCATTTTATCTCTTTCAGTCCTAAGGAATGCATCATACATTCATAGGTTCCTACCTAGAAGCCCAGTGAACGCACGATGCGTCGATTTCACATCTCTCTTAATTACCTCTTAGGCCTATGATGCTAAACCCTTGGGACTGAAAGGGTTAAGTGTAAAATGTATATTCTTTGTTTCTTTTTTTAGCCAAAAGTACAGCTATAAAATTGATATATGGAGTCTTGGGATCACAGTGATTGAAATGTTGGAAGGGAGACCACCATATTTGAATGAATTTCCTCTGAGAGTTATTTATCTGATCAAAACAAAGGTATCATTTTATAAATATTTAATTTGTACATGAAATATTTTAGACTTATAAAATATTTTAGTTATATTTTGCAATTAAATAAAGCTTGGTTTACTCTAGGACATGATGTGGTGATTTTGATCACAGGCATGAGAGAAACCATGTGTGGAAGTTGAAGTGATCATTGCCATTGTAGCCTAAACAAATAATGTTTAAAGCCTATACATTTGAGCATATAGTAAGCAACCTTTCTCCCCCTTTCTGGTGTAGTTTTATGGATGCTACAATTATAAGCTGAGTGATAGATAATAAATCAAATACCCATGTGGATTCCGGGGACCTGTTGTAGGGAAAACAAGAATAGACCCACTGCCTACCCAAAAGCATGTCGTAAGAGTCGACTAATTGGGAGCTTCCTTTGAAGTCGGAGTGCATCTGCCTGAGAGGCAAGGAACCAGCAGTCTGCATACAAATGAGTCAAATCTGTAAAACGGATGCACCCACAACACTCAGGTTCTGGAAAAGGACTGCAGTCCAGAAGTGGATGAACAACCAGAACTTTCCCTCAGAGTTTACAGCTGGTGAACGCGAAGAAGAAATGTTAGTAGGTTTTGAGCAATGCATTGCATTTCTGGAGTTCCAAATTGTTCAAGATCCTCTGCCACTCTATGCCAGTCTCTGCCAGTCTATGCCAGTCTAGTTAAGGTTCCAACTGTTCATTGCGGGACAATCTTCATTGTACATCAGGCATATCCTTAATGTTTTTCTAATGATCTTCTCCCAAGAATGTTTCTTGGTGAGTGTTTACGCTGATGACTCCCAGAGGGGTTCTTTTGTGCTGGAACTGTGTAGGTCTTTTGCTGGGCTCTCCTTTTGAAGCCAGCATGGATAACTTTTTGGCTACCACACTTTCCTTATGGCTACCACACTTTAGATTATGTCAGCAGTGACCTAAAAGGTCTTGCTCTGTAGCTCTAGCTGAAGTAAAGATAAAGAATAAAGTCCTCACAATAATAATATATCCTTGGTGTTTCACATACTTATGTAACAGTATATATCCTTTGTGTTTCACATACTTATGTAGCAGTATCTGTTATAAGATTACCCGTATAAACAGTAACTACATAGTTAATGTAGTTAAAAATTAGCTACAATAAATAAAGATAAACCTGTGACTTACTAATAAAGATAACATAATTGATTCTACAGTACCTTTATTTCCTATAGAGACATAGACTGTCACCCAGCTCGCACTAAGCCATTCTGTCTTCTATTATGCAACTCACTTTATGTTCTCCCCACAGTATTAATCTATCTCTACTTCTCTTCTTAAGTTTTCTTTCATCTCTTGTACCCTGTGGGTTCTAGTGCAAATCCTTTCGATTTATACTATTATAAGATTTTCTCAGTGTATTCTCTATCCATTGGGATGCATTTTTTTAGTCTTTTGATTCATTGTAATCTGCTTGATTTTTTTTTTCTTATGAAGCTCAGCTTTAATAATTCTGTAGTGGCATATAATTCCTGTTTAACTCCTTTTCAGATTAAATGAGGTAAATTTAAGAAAGGTGGAAAAAAACTGGAAAAAAGTGTCTGGACAACCACTGGTACCAGAATGTTAGAAGAAAAGAAAATGATATATTAATCACAAGTAGATAAAAGAATTGACAAAACAGGCACTGTAGTAAGAACCTGATTCAGGAAGCCGGGACATCCTAGAGAAGCTCCATGATGACTTTGATGAAAGAGGCCTGACACTAGATTCCATATTCAATATAAAAAAACATTTCACAGAGAATGGAAGAATCAGCTGCAAGCCCTGTGTGACATGTAAATCGCACAGTAGTATAATAAATAAATAAATTCTGCTCAGACATCAAACAGTTAATGTTTGTAATTACCTTTACTGCATTTACGAAATAATAATCACATTTTCTGTCTCCATTTTCTAGGCCAGACCTCCTATACATGATGAGCACAAACTGTCACCAGAACTCAGGGATTTTCTCCACAAATGCTTGGAGGCCAAAGTGGAGCAACGAGCCAGTGCCCGTCAGCTGTTGGACCATCCACTTATACGAAAGGCCTTACCACCAGCTAAGTCTCTGAGCCCTGTCATACAGGCAGCTCATGACGCTAGAAAAAAATGATATGAATATTTTTGTTTACATTCCTGATACAAATTAGTTCTTTGGTTATTTTAGTTTGTTTTGTTCTGCTGTGCCTTTTAGCACTGGGATAGGGATGAGCTTTCTCAATATAGCCTTTGCACGAGCTGCATACAAGGTGGCTGTTACCTTAACTCTCTCTGTACCTGGTGGATGTTACTTAAACCTGTTATATTGTAAGAAGTTGTTACTATAAGTAATAAGTATTTGGGTCTGATGGGGTTGAAACAATAACACCATGAGAAAGAATGATTAAAAGCAGCAACTGAGGCAGAGCAGGTTTCCGTGCAGCTTGATGGGAAATACTGGATTCAGAATAGTTTGTGATGTAAGTTGAGCCCAGTAAATGTATGGTTAGTTTCTTGGTACCAAATGAGTTATTAATGCTCTGTTGTGAGATAAAGGGCAAAAGAAGATAAAGAAAGATCTCAGATGAGTTCTGTTGATGATACTTCTTCATGCCTCATCATGAGACCATCCAGCATCATTTATCTGTGTGCAGCCAGGTATTTGCCGGTCCTGACAGAAGGAAATTACTGTTGTGGTCTAATGTTGGTTCTTAACTCAGCTTAACACAGTCTAGTCAAGGTTGTCAATTTATAGTCACCATCTGATTTAACTAAACTTCCTGCTTGGCCTTAGGTCATTCAGTATATCGATTTCTGAGTATCTGCAATCTTATCCTTCTTCTGGGCTCAGCCTAAAAAGGGGGGTTGGTACATTGTGTTGTAGTTTACAGCTAGACTGCATATATCTGCACCTTTCAGCCCAACGCATCAGGTTTCAGAAAAACAATAATTAGTTGCCTTTTATGACATGCTTGCTAGAGAGCAGTTGGTCTAGTATTCCCTCCCACCCACCAGAAAAAATAGGGCACAGAACCCAGAGTGAGATCATCAATCAGAAAAACGTTATTGCCTGTTACACATTTCTTTCCCTACATCATGACTGGCTTAGTTTATAAACTGAATTTATTTATTTCATTTTATATATATATATATATATATATATATATATATATATATATATATATATATATATATATATATATATATATATATATATACACTTCCTAAATCATGTTTTATGGTGATATATATGTGTGAATTACAAAAGCATAAAGAACAACTTAAGGCCATATATACATGAGGTATGTTTATAAAATGCACCACAGTAAACTTTTGAAAATGTAAAAACATTTGTATCTGCCCAGGTGAGTATCACAGATTTTATACCATTCTGTCTTTTATTATTTGTTTTCATTTGTTTGCATATTTTAATGCTGTAATGAAGTGTGTTTTTCTTTTTCATTTCCTTTGACCACATCGGGTGTCAAGGAAGTTATACGGTTCTGCTTCTTGCTCTTCTAGCTACCTCAATTACAGACACACTGTGCTGTTGTGGATTTTCTCTGACTTGCTACTCAATCACAGACACACTGTGCTGTTGTAGAGTTTCTCTGACTGGCTACCTTGATCACAGACACACTGTGCTGTTGTAGAGTTTCTCTGATTGGCTACCTTGATCACAGACTCATTGTGCTGTTGTAGAGTTTCTCTGATTGGCTACCTTGATCACAGACTCATTGTGCTGTTGTAGAGTTTCTCTGACTGGCTACCTTGATCACAGACACACTGTGCTGTTGTAGAGTTTCTCTGATTGGCTACCTTGATCACAGACTCATTGTGCTGTTGTAGAGTTTCTCTGATTGGCTACCTTGATCACAGACTCATTGTGCTGTTGTAGAGTTTCTCTGATTGGCTACCTTGATCACAGACACATTGTGCTGTTGTAGAGTTTCTCTGACTAGCTACCTTGATCACAGACTCATTGTGCTGTTGTAGGGTTTCTCTGAGTGGCTATCTTGATCACAGACTCAGTGAGCTGTTGTAGAGTTTCTCTGACTGGCTACCTTGATCACAGACTCATTGTGCTGTTGTAGAGTTTCTCTGATTGGCTACCTTGATCACAGACTCATTGTGCTGTTGTAGAGTATCTCTGACTGGCTACCTCGATCACAGACTCATTGTGCTGTTGTAGAGTTTCTCTGATTGGCTACCTTGATCACAGACACATTGTGCTGTTGTAGAGTTTCTCTGACTGGCTACCTCGATCAGACACATTCGCGCTGTTGTAGAGTTTCTTTCTCTGATGTTATCTTTCCATATTTTCTTGGTCTTCATGATACCCTATGTACTTCTCCTCTTTTGGTATGGTGTCACAAAGCTTTCTCTGTTTAGTGGGCAAACCATTTGATTTACTGTCTTTGTATGTGATTTAGAATTAGCTTTGTGCCAACTTTTTCAGTTAGATATTTCTTGGTGCTGATTGAGATTTGTCTAATGCTTTATGAGTGGGGCCAGCTGTCCCAGCATTTGATATGTTTTAATTCATTTGATATTAATTTGTTCATCAAATTTACTATCTTCTGTGAGTGATGTTCCCAGATATGAAACTCTGATGCCTGTTTAATGTTGTAATCTAGTTACTTTGGCAAAACTTCTTTGCGTGCCCTCCCCCCCCCCCCCCCCCCATGTCTGCTGATAAAAGTTTTACACCACAGTATCCTTTGTTTATTGCACTGTGTTCTGTCAACCTGACACACTCCATATATAAAAGCATTATACAGCTGCTGCAAAAGGAAGAACTCGCAAAGACTCTCATCCATTTTGTGATTATATTATGAGTTGCGATGTTCCTGAAGTCCCATGCTTTAATCGTCGACAATTGTTCTTCTTAACGTGAGCCGTTCTTGGTTGTCACATTTGCCTTTGCCATGGGCAATGATTGTCATGTCTGTTTTTAGCACAGAGGTTTTCAAACTGGGGGATGTGCCCCATAGGGGGCTGCAAGGAAGTTTCAAGAGGAATGTCATAACACTTTTGAAATTGAGTGCAGTTATAAGAATTGTTTATATTTATAATTTTTTTTTCTTACAGAACTATAATTAAAATACTTTTACAAAGTATTTACAAAACAAAAAGTTGTTTTCATGAACAGTTTGTACAACAGCAGTGAGACAAAACTGACAACCATCATATTGATATTTGGTCACTAAATTACCAGTTGTTAATTGTTTCTTTTACATATGTGACATTTGATTTATGTGGATATTTTTCTCAAAGTTTTTGTTTATAGTGCTTGCGATTGTACTTTTTGACCTCTTGTTAATCAAACTTGTTTTAATTGGGGGTGGGGAATGTTGGTGCGTGTGTCTGTCTGGCTACATGTTCAAAAAGGGCGCCACCTTTAGCGAAGTACAATACTATCATCTGGAAAGCCAGATCCTAACAAAAATTATGAGCTGAATGTCAGGAAATGATTGTGACAACCAGAAAAGAAGATATTTCAGAGACAGAGGAGGAAATTGCTAGGTATGTTAGAATGGCACAGTTAATCAATGATTCAACTTAGTAACACTAAAATCAGATGGTTGTGTAGGAGCATGATCGCCCTGATATTGTCAAAATCGTGAGAAAATGACTGACCTCTAGAAAGATACATTAAAAACGTGGTACAGAAAAATGGACCATAAACAAGCAGTTAGAAAATCTGTCTCTGGAAATGTGGATAAACAAAATAGATCCCGATTCAAGGGAACAAAAGCAGTCAAATACAGAAGTTCTGAAGAGGCTAGGAATGACTTGGAAAGACTTGTTCAAAGAAATGAAAACAGAAAAATGTCATACTCTTATAAAAACCACACTACAGGGAAGAGTTGAAGGAATGCAAGCACAAGGCATACAGCAATATAAGTGGGAGGAAACATCAAGAAATCAAAGAGAGCGTGCAAACAATATAAAGAGATAAACCCTGTTGGAGATTGCGGCCAACCTTCACTGTGGAGATGGCACAGAGATCGATTGATATTACCTGTGCTATCCAGCACGACACAAGATGGTGATACTTTAAAGTAAATTCTGTGCCATCTCCACTGCAGTCGTGGGTTCATGTCTGACAGAGCCAGACTTTTTTTTTTTAAATGACCTTGACTCCCAGCCATAAGTGAGTACCAGGTGCAGTCATGGAAAGTAAAGGCGGTCGATGTGATGCTGACCGCATCACCCACCAAGAGCCAATTGGTCTATAAAAATATAGGTCTAGCCATATATTCCCAATATGCCTAAAGGCGCGGAAAAGGGACCTTTATCTCCACCGCAGACTGGAAATATTACCAGCTGAGGCCAACTCTTCCACGATGCGACACTCATAGCATTTTCTGATCAATTCATCGATCAGACACTTTGTTCCCTGGGCTGCTACCTAGAGGTTTGTCAATCCCATCCTAACATCTTATCTGGAGGGCAGACCAACAAAGTAGATCCCAGATACCCCATTCAACATCCAAAGACATCATAATTAAGGCACCAATAACAGCAACACCAGCCAGAAACTCACAGTACTATGTGGATGAGGGCCCCATTGTCCAGAAGCCACTAGAAAATATTAGATTCTTCATTGTGCTCCTTTTATATGGATTTATTTCTTAAACCCACCTCTCTTGCGGGTGTAATTTTATACTGTATAAATATATTTATCTGTACTTTTATATTTTTTGAAACATTTCCTTAAAAGAGCTGTTGGAATGCTGGTTTGCGGTTTAAGCTAGGCTGCTTCATCTGTGCTTTTCGGCCCAACACATCCAATTTGATCAAACTTTTTTAAAATTTAAACAAACATTTGTCAGTGACTGCCGGTCTATCCTCTCCCCCTTTTCCCCTAAACCACACATGGAAGGTTTTGTGTTATAATTTATGCATATTTATAAATCATTATTTTCTGATGTAAGCTTTCATTGATACTAAAGAGACACTGCACAATTTATTCTCCAGCTTTTTCACCTAGACTTTCTTTGCATTTTGATATCAATTTACATGTTTTACAATGTTGCTTACTCATTTTCCTGCTCTTTATGAAGCACAATATTATAACAATATGTCAGTTTTCTCATTATTAAAATCATTACCTTTTATCTTGATCTATTTTTGGTTAGTTTGCATGTGAAAATTTTGTAACTGTCCACATTCTGTGCATAATTATTTATGTAAAAAGGAAATAAGCAGTCTAAAGTCTGACATGGAGAACAAACGTCTGCATGCGATAGCAAAGGGAAGATAACTTGGTGCTTCCAATGTGAGTTCCAGAACTCAATTATCAACAGAAAGAACAAATATCACAGCCTAGCTGTGAACCCAAACTCAACATACCCTTTTAATCATGAACTAAGAAAAGAGTCAAAGAATTTGTTGGTCTTTGCAAAATAGTGAATGAAGGGAAGTAAAAGAACATCTTGCCTGATTAACTGAAAAGTCGAGAGGAATCTTCTTCTTCGCATTCACCAGCTGTACACTATGGCGTAAAGTTCTAGTTGTTCGTCCAATTCTGGACTGCAGTCCTGCTCCAGAACCTGAGTGTTGCGTGTGCATCAGTTTTACAGATCTGATTCAATTGAATGTAGACTGCTGGTTCCTTGCCTCTCAGGCAGATGCACTCCGACTTCAAAGGAAGCTCCCCAGTTAGTCGACTCTTACGACATGCTTTTGGGGAGGCAGTGGGTCTATTCTTGTTTTCCCCACAATAGGGCCCCGGAACCCACACGGGGGTCGAGAGGAATTATACCAAAAGTCGCAAGGCACGATAAAGAAACTCTGTTGTAAACAAGCACAAAGCAATTACAAACAAAACACACATGAAGTATTCTCAAACAACACTGCTTCTGTTAACACAATTGTTTATCTTGATTTAAATAACTTGCAACATAAATGTGTCTCCACAATAAGTAACAGAAATACTCAAAACATATCCACCTTCATCTCTCCGATTGCTCCGCAACTTCTAATTTCCATTACAACTTTCATGATATGATGAATATGCTGCACATAAAACAGACTAGAACCTAACATACGGTGTTCATGATAAAGAAATACAATTAGGAACTCTTGGGAACTACAACGAATATGTGTATAAAGAGTTCATTCCCCCTGCTCCATGCATTTTCCCCCAACACATTTCTGGAACAATACCATAAAAGGATATCAAGCCAAAAGTCAAGTAGAACTAGTCAGTTTCACATTACTACAAATGACAAGTGAATCACATCAGCACAGATGACAGGTGAATCACATTGGTAATAATGACCCACATTGCCACAAATGAACCACATCAACCCAGATAACAAGGTAATCACATCAATCCAGATGACAAGTGAATCACATTTACCACAAATGCCAAGTAGATCACATTATCACAAATGACAAGTGAACATGAAGAGGAACATATTTTCTGGAACAAAGATGTTCACACTGAAATGATAGGGGCCTCAAACACACTGTACTGTTTGTGATTCATGCCAGAATTGACAAACTGACCAATTAAGAGAAAAAGAGAAGACACATATCCGGTTGGATGACACTTTAACAAGAGCGCAAGGAGAAGAAAGTGGTGATCACAAAAGAAGACCTTAGTATCTGGCTGGAAGACACTTATTAGCCTTCACTAGCTGTAAACTCTAGAGGATGAGCTCTGGTTGTTCGTACACTTCTGGACATTAATCTTGTTCCAGAACTTGAGTTTTGCATGCACATCTGTTGCACAGATCTGGCTTATCTGTATGCAGACTGTTGGTTTTATGCCTCTCAGGCAGATGCACTGAGACTTGGAAGGAAATACCCCTAATCATTTTACCTTTACTACATGCAACTCTAATACCGAGGTTTTACCAGGCTTTTCCTGGTACCCAATTTAAGGGATAACCGAGGATTCAGAATTGTGGTTCACTTCCCCTGTGCCACAGATGCAAATGTTTTCAAAAGCGCATGAAAAAATATGCATAAAGATGTTATTTCCCTGTTATGCATTTTCTCTAGAACAATGACAGTAATGAAATGATAAGAAGCAACAGGAGTCACAAGAAAATAAGATTAGCAACAGAATGACATGGTATATATCCTACTGGGTGTGCACATGAGATGATAGTAATGAGCAGAACTTTTAAAAAAAAATGATTTTACTTTGATAATAAATTCTTCAAAGGAACTGCAGACTTTGTATTTATTTGCCATTAGCATATGTTAGTGAACTAGACAAAAGGGACAGTGGAGCAACTGGAGTCATGAGAAAAATAAACATAAGATTAGTAACATAATATCACGCTGTAAATCCTTTAAAGTGTCCACATGAGATGATGTTAAGGAGGAAAAACAGATTGTCTTTGAACAATCAATTCTCCAAAGGAAGTGCAGTCTTTGTAATTATCTCCTATCATGTGATAAAACAAGTCAAAAGAGGCAAGTGGTGTTCTTCTGTCATGTTATCAGAAATGGGAGAACACTGTGATAACCAGAAAGTTCAGGGGTAGAAGGAAATGAAGAGAAATTATGCTGAAAGCCTCAGATAGTGGCAAGCAAGAATACCATCAACACGTCCAGGATAATGATGATTTATGTGATTATAAATTAGATAAAGGAGAACACTGAGATAACCAGAAGAAATTTCAGTGACAAAAGAAGAAGCAGACCAAGAGAAACTTTGCTGGACCATGTGGTAAAGCAAATAATGATGATGATTCATATAACATTTAGAGACGTCTGGTGGGCTGCTGATGTATCAACACGTAGCACTTCTCTCAAGGCCATGGTGGCATAACACGATGAAGGCAGGTTCATTTTCAGGACTACAGCTTTGAACTTCCCTGCAAAAGTTAAACAAAATATTGTTAAAATAATCAGGACAAAACAATATATTGCACAATCCATTGTCTGGCATTTTTTGCTACATTTCATCAACTGCATTACTACAGAGTTTGCAAAAAAATATATTGAAGGACAAAAAAAAAAGACTTTAAACCGAAATAAACTCCCCGTGTGGGTTCCGAGGCCCTGTTATAGGGGAAACAAGAATAGACCCACTGCCTAACCAAAAGCATGTCGTAAGAGTTGACTAATTGGGAGCTTCCTTCAAAGTCGGAGTGCATCTGCCTGATAGGCAAGGAACCAACAGTCTGCATACAAATGAGTCATATCTGTAAAACAGATGCACACACAACACTCAGCTTCTGGAACAGGACTCAAGTCCAGAAGAGGATGAACAACTAAAACTTTTCTGAGTTTACAGCTGGTGAAAAGACGAAGAAGAAGAACCGAAATAAACAAATCACAGTGTACGCACAAATTACAATGCACACCAGGACTGTTCAAATAAGTTTTCTCAAGGGCTAAAATTCTGAAAATGGTGATCATCGCAGGCCAGAGCCCCATCATTGAAAGAGCTTTAGTACGACATAACGGGCAATGATCCACAGGCCACTTGCTAGGCATCTGCGGGCTGCCAGCTGAATAGCCCTGCTGTTCACCAATCAATACAGAAGTACAAGATTAATCACATGATCCCTTTGTTTACATTACATGGGATTGCCAGTCCTAACTCTGGCTGCTTCAGTAATTTCAATAAGAACCTATTCCATGTGTGATAAATTCACAGTAGGCACAATCCTGATTAATCATGTTACCAGGGTCAAGCAGATGATGTGCTATGGAAGAATTAGATACTTTCTTCTGCGCTGATATCGACACTTGCTTGTGTATGGGGCCAGTCTGGAATATACTCTGTCACTCTGACATTTATTCATACAGAAATGTATAATGTCTTGATTTTATCAAAAGATAGGTCAGATGATTAAGTCAAATAACAAGAGACCACCTTTAAACAGGATACCACAAACGGCATATACATATAAATATGCCTCAGCAGAGCAGGGGGCAGACTCCAAAAGCAAATGGATTAGCAGAAAAGTAGTCAGATCCTTGCATGCAGCACTCACTAAAGCTGCCTAGAAAGCTCTTCCCAGAATGAAGCATAATAATGTTATAAAAGCCATACTGGGAGGAAAAGTTGAAGGCAAGTGAGCAAAGGCTAGGTAATGACATACATGGAATGATAACATAACGAGATGGAAAAACAGCAGATTCAGAAAGTGCACAACCAGGTGCAAAACCAAAGTCCAAATAACCAGGATTTTCCACCAGAGCTTACAGCCGGTGAACAATGAATAAAAAGAAAGTATTGGTAATAAATCTAGAAAAATATATAATATGCTTAAAATAATATATTTTAAGGGGGCATGCAACCTGTATGAGATAATACTGAAAAATTTTTTATTGTATGTATAAGGGTTGGTGGTATTTTTCATTTGTTGTCAAAGATGGTTCTACAATAATTCTTCTTCTTCGCGTTCACCAGCTGTAAACTCTGGCGGTAAGTTCTGTTTGTTAGTCCACTTCTGGACTGCTGTCCTGTTCCAGAACCCAAGTGTTGCGTGTGCATTCGTTTTACAGATCTGACCAATTTGTACGCAGACTGTTGGTTCCTTGCCTCTCAGGCATGACGCACTCCAACTCTGAAGAAAACTCCCAATTGGTCAACTCTTATGACATACTTTTAAGTAGGAAGTGGGTCTATTCTTGTTTTCCCCACAATAGGGCCCCAGAACCCACACGGTAATGGTTCTACAGTTGAGCTGTGGAGTAAGCTAACCTTATTTTGTTTGGGCCTATCCATCCTAGAGAGTGTTGGAGATCTACTACATCTAACCTTCACTGTTAATACATTTTCTGTACTGCTCTTACCTTTGTTGTGAGAGGCTGGCAATGTGACTTCCTTGATGACATCCATGTCACTTAAGGTGAGTGGAAGTGAACAGTCGTCATAGCGATGATGTGACCAACTGACATTGGTAGGGCACACTGTCATTTGTCTATAGGCTCCGGGCAATGAATAGTCTCTGGTGAAGAAAAAGAATACACAAGAGGAAAATTACAATATTGAATCAAGATTCCACATCCCAGAACTCGGGACATTACCATAAGCACTCAGTCCCCATCCCCATGGTACCAGTAAAAGTCTGATTGTATATCTGTGTTACATTTCCCTTGAATATAGAGATCCCCCGGTCATTCCTTGCAGCACCATTCTCCTCAAACCATGATGATCTGTTTGTGCCTCTGCACCGTTCTCTTACTTCCAAACGACCCTCACAACAATTAGCTTGTCATGTATCAATTTACTACCAAGTAGTGCAGAAGCAACCAGCCTATCTGCCTGTTCGTTTCCCAAAACACCAGCACAACATGAAGAAAACATCCAAAGGACACTAATTACTCGGGAACAATGAACCGATGCTTGCCTCTTCACATGGAGAATACCTATCTCCACTTTCACAACACGTTCTTCAAGTCAATTACAGTTATGATAGTGTGTACAAAAAGTGCGTACAGCTGGTTCTTAAACCAGCAGAAGGCTGCAGTGACTGCCTCTACCTCTACTCTCAAACTAGATGTTGAACAACTACAATGAATCCTATCTGTCTTTTTTCTACAATTGTTTGTTTTGCCAATGGATTCCGGTAACATATGAGCAAAGCCACATATTAAATGAACATAATGTGCAAGGGCTCCCCACCGGTTTATTTCTGTACACTACGAGAATACAATGGAACTGACAAATCATTTCTCTTCTTTTAATGTTAACTGTATACTAAGCACAGAATTAGTCTAATGTGTTTGTATGTGTTGTGTTTGCGATAATTAGTCAAATGTGTCTGTATGTGTTGTGTTTGTGACAATTAGTCTGATGTGTTTGTATGTGCTGTGTTTGTGATAATTAGTCAAATGTGTTTGTATGTGTTGTGTTTGTGATAATTAGTCTGATGTGTCTGTATGTGTTGTGTTTGTGATAATTAGTCTAATGCATTTGTATGTGTTGTGTTTGTGATAATTAGTCAAATGTGTCTGTATGTGTTGTGTTTGTGATTTAATCTATGCTGAGCTAAAGGGATTTCTACAACACATGGTGATATTTCAATGATTTAATCCTAATTCTGTTCATACTCCATAGTTGTGGGTTCAAGCTGAAGGACAGACCTGGCTAATGATGACACCTTATACGGGTGTCGAGTTGGTCATGCATTGAAATACACTCAGCGTACTGCCAAACCACACTCTAAACATCTAGCTGTTTCCCAAGTGTAATGGTTTCACTGTGCAGCAGTAGAGTCATAATGATTATTCAATATGGCCGGTAGGCAGTTTACGTGTGGGCTAGTGAAATATCTTATGCAATAATCCTATGCGTGTTTAGTCAACTTATCGTGCATGGCTACTTCCCTCAATGACAAACTGCAATTCTGGTGACGACTGTTGGCTTTGGTACCTCTAGGAGGGGATGGGTGGTCTCAAAGTATGGCGTACGCCTCAAGTGCTGGCGGTCCCGGGTTCAGGCATGAATTTTTTTTCTTGTGGACTTCAATAATTTTCCCTGGTCTTTGGGTAGCAAGATCGGACGCTCGCGTGTACTGTTGCGCATGTTTAAAAAATCCCTTGGCGTTTGGAAATCAAAAAGGGTAGCCTAACGGCGTCTGATTCTTCAGACTCAGGCTTGAGTTAGAAGTAGAATGAAGCACTTATGGGTTACTACTGATGTTGATCCATTGTATAAACCATAAACAAGCCTCTAGCATCTGCCAAATGCATTTACTGCGTGCGCATATTTCTGGATTGTGCTAACTGTTTGTTCTCCAGTTTTTCAAATGGGAAAGTGGGGGACATTTCATTTGATTTTCACTGGCACAGGAACAGAGCAAGTATGGGGTGACCTGATTGCAATAAAGTTGAAACCTCGACTAAGACACATCTGAGCATATACTGCAGAAATGCCCCCTACAGCGACACCTAGGAGAAAACACATGGCCAGAGGGAAGTAGCATCCAGGGTAAACTTTGAGGAACCCTCAGAGACTTGCTGCTGATTTACTGGTTCATGGAAGCTACAAAACTGATAACCTGAGCATATGAAACTGATCGCAAAGAAGAATAAATACATGTATCCAGCAGCAAGGCATTTTTGTCACTGGTAGGTCTGATTCCCAGCGTGGAAACTACAGCTTACAACTGTTATGTTGTCTAGTGTGTCCTTGTCTCTCTACCTCTTTCTCTGAGTGCCAGTCAATACATATCAATTTGTTTATTATAAATATGGAAGTGAAGATTACAACAATGATTCTTCTACTTACTTTTGAGGTCTCCTCATGTTATCTATATCCAAACCATCTTCTGCTAGTGTCTCCCTATACCAACTGTGAACTAAAATAACAAATATGGATCAGCTAATTTCCTTCTACCAAAAACTACATAACAATATTACATACTTAAAACAAAAAGTTTTAATGGACACATCTTCTTCTTCTTGTGATTGCATCCTTAATTTACACAGACAGAACAAATAGGTTCTTATGATAAACTGGCCATTTCCATTTCTTAGAGTTCCTCTAGCTTTGATTATGTTGCTGACTCACTAGGCTGGTATTTCCATGTTAATGGATATCACAAGGGCAGTCTTGCAGGATGAATCCTCCATCTGTACGCATAACACATCCAAAATGGGCAAAGTGGTGAACTACTCGGACAAAGCCTGTCATATGATTGTTAAGTTTGTTCATGCTGGTCTGGTAAGTGGTCGCCATCTTTGGCCCAAGTAGTTTCACTTATTGGGAAGATAAATGCCGATTTATGAGTGGAAATTAGGAAGAAGGAATAGTATATATCCCTGTGAAATGTTTCACTTGTACATTAACGAATCTCTGTAACAAAGGAAAATTGTCAACAGACAAAAATCCTCTTAAACAATGTTTCCTTAAGCTCAGATCGGAAAAATAAGAACTAGATCATGTGGCTCAAAGCAGTGATCTTGTCAGCATCTATGCCTTAAGACATTTGCTGCTGAAGACAAAGCACCCATAGGATTGCCCAGTAGGCTATGATGTAGGCCCAGTAGGCTATGATGTAGGCCCAGTAGGCTATGACGTAGGCCCAGTAGGCTATGATATTGATTCTTTGATCAGTTATCTGTACACTTAGATACTCTCAGACACACTGATATTATGGTCATCTGAGCCCTGAAAAGAACATACATCTATCAGAGCGAGGTAGAGACTTCTGTACCAATCAAGCAATAACTTATCATCTCCATGGTAACAGTGTTGCTCAGCTTACTTTCCCTTTCCCGTGCCCCAGAACAGGAGGTTGTGCAAGACTGGTACTAGAATTGGAGTGGCATGTTTGGATGTACCCAGACTAGCGCACAAACTGATACATGTTGGAGATTGCAAGATGAGTAGAAGTATGACTGCCCAATAGCAAAAGCTCTTAAAGATGCTGAATTAGCTGTTACATGACTGTGTCTGTCATTACCACCTGTATTTATCATATTTAGGGAAGCATAACACAGGAGGGTCCAGAGCTTCAGAATTTAGGGCAGCATGACTAGTGCAGTATTTTTTCCCCGACAGACAAAAAAAAAAAAAAAAAAAAAAAAAATTACAGTACCTTCTTACCCCAGGGGCTCTTGAATAACAGCCTAGAATTCTAGCCCAGCCACTCTACGTAAGTTATATCTCAAGTTAATTAGGCACTCACTCTACTGCGCTGATCTGAACAAGTTACATTCTCTTTGTATTACCTTCATTTTTGGGGTAGATGACATCATAACCAGGTAATGGCAAAACTACATCATGAAGGGAGAACTGGTCCAAGTTATCCTGTGTGATTACCACTGGAGACACCTTTTCTGTAAGAGAACAGACTCTATTTTTAAAAACACTACACATCTGTGATTTAAGGTAACATATTTGTAAATAAAGCCTTTTTCCACATCATGAGGCATATTGGGCACATCATGAGGCATATTGGGCATACAGGGCTAGACCTATATTTTATATACCAATAGGCACTAGGTGGGCGATGTGGTCAACATCATGCAGACCGCTTTTACTTCCCAGGACTTTACCTGGTACCCATTTAAGGTTAGGTTAACCTGGCAGCCAAGGTAATTTTTAAAAAAAATCCAGCTCCATCAGGATCTGAACCCACGACATTCAGATCCACGGGCGCTACACCACGCTCCATCTAGCCACTACACCACGGCAGCTACAAGTTGACATGTTAATGGAAATCTAAATCTGTTACCCCGTATGGGTTCTGAGGTTTCATTAGGGGAGGGGGGAAGGAGAAGGGTTAGTATTGAGACCCACTGCTTCTTGAAAATCATGTTATTAAATGTAACTAATTAAGGATCTGCTGAAACTGGATGTGCTGGGCGGAATGGAAAATATATCACAGCCTAACTGTAAACCACAACACAAAGTACCAATTGCCCAGTTAAGGGTAAATACAGAGGAATAAAAAATATGTCTATACTTACAGAGAAAATAATTCATTATTTTATGGTTACTAAAGAATACACATTAATCCTGTTAAAGGTTGCCCAGAAACCCTCCCCCCCCAAAATATCACATTATGATATAATTCAAGCCATTTTTTAACTCTTCAAGTTACATCTGCTACCAATGTTGTTCTTTTGTTCGCTTGAAATAAATTTTATCTATATCTGCAATGCTATCTCTAGTACGAACATCACTGTCTTTTGTAAGTCACTAAGCAGCCCGTAGAGTTTGGCTTCCACCAGTGTCTCTCTTAGCCAGAAGTTTTGTCTAGAAATGTATTTGGGACAGTCTTAGAGAACGTGATCTATTGTCTTAGCTGCCGGTCCACATGCGCACATGACCAGACCACCATAGTAAAGTTCATGTTTTTGTGTGGAAGCTATAGTAGCGTTGTGGCTAGATGCTCCAATGCTGGCCTGAAGGTCAAGGGTTCAAAACTAACCTCGGCTGCCAGGTTTACAAAGCCTAAAATGGATACCAGGTAATGTACTGGGAAGTATAGGCAGTTGATGTGATGTTATCACATCACTAAATAAGTGCTGATTGGTCTATACAAATATAGGTCTAGCCCTATATACCTTACGCATCGAAGGCCTGAAAAATGTTTTTTACTATGTTTTTGTTCAAAATAAATTCAGTACCATACAAGAGCAACATATAAATCAAATCTTCATTTCTAACACCTATCACTTTAGGTAATAATAATACAGGTTACATCCTATTTTTTTTTTTAAACAACAAAAAACAGTAACTTCTTCTCCTTCACTGGCAGTAAAACACCAGTGAAAAGTTCCCCTTTAGGACTTTATTCTTGTTCCACAACTTGAGTTTTGCATGCACACCCGTCTTACCGATCTGGCTTATTTGTATTCTGGCTGTTGATTCCTCGCTTCTCAGACACATGCACTCCAACTTTGAAAGAAACTCCCCAAATCAGTCACCTTGTATCACATGCTTGTTAGGGAGGCAGTGGATCTACACCCTCCCCCGACTCCAACTGAGGCCCAGAAACCACATGAGGAACTTTACAATAATTAAAGATTATATCTTCATATTTAACAAGAACAACAACAAAACTCGTTACTTCAAGTAACAATAAAGATCACATAAAACTAACCTGTGTTTTCAGGATTGCCCTTTATTGCAAGATCTCCAATTATGGGCTTCATTCCAAACACTTTCAGTCGCCTGGACACCATTTTGTTCCACACAAGTGCCTGGTAGCTATGTATGTACAGCAAGCGTGTATTCCTAGAAATCTGGCCAAGACAACAACAGTAATAATAAGTGACACAGGTCCACTATGTGGATTTCAGAGCCCCATTTTGGAGAAGCGGGAATATCCACACTGCCCCTGTCAGGAACCTAACTGTCTAGGGTTCGATTCCATTGGCTCTGCTAAAGGCTAATGACAGGAAAACACTGTACAAACACACTCAAGCCAAACACTTGTTGCAACACACACACAATCTTTATTATCAAATATACAAACAAAGTGGTGGTACACCTCAGGAGGAGTAGCGCTCCTTATTCTAAAACCAGGCCGCGTCTAACTTTAAAATCGCTTAGAGGCGCCTTTACCCATTCATGAAATAAGCTCTGAGCCGCTACCACTCTCCTGTACAGTGCCAGCTCAACCCGCTGTCTCTTGATGCCAAAGACGTTATGGCATACGCCAACGTGTAGGCCTAAGTGCGTCGACAGTGTTAACGCCACCAACAATGCATGGTCTGGCTTCTAGTTACAACTACTGACAAGTCTAGCTACTATCTTACATGAGATATTAACGGAGATCTAACTAGGACACATGCTGTTTACTCTGTAACGAAGGGAAAAACATTTAATGACACTACGAACAGAACGTGTTACAGCCAATAACTACACTGGTACCTATCTACAAGTCAAAAGAAACGGTCACTAAAAATCTACCACAATCTCCACTCTCCTCCCACGTCCAGCTTCCTCGCAGTATCTCAAGCAAGCGTTCAGCGTCTGGTCCAAAATGTGCAGAGTCTACTCTGCACACCCGTGCGAAGTCCGCTGGTCAATGACCAAGCTACGCTTTGCTCATACGTTCATGCTCGTTTCTAAGTGTGTATACACGTACTGAGTTGCACTAAGGGTCGCAGGGTATGATGACAAGATTCATCATCATCAAACTGAACTGTTCCATAACAGGGCGAACCCTGACAGGGCCCCCCCCCCCCCTTTTTTCCCATAACAAGAATGCCATAAAAGTTGACTAAGGATGTTTCCTGCAAAGTTTAAATGAATCTGCCTGCGAGGCAAGGAACCCAGTGTCTGCATACAAATAAGTCAGATATGTCTAACGGATGTGCAAGGTAAATTCAAAACATGAAACAAATCCAGAGGTGGATAATAACCAGAACTTTGGATCTGAGAGTTTACAGTCAGTGAACCTAGAGAAAAGTCACACAGGCAGTAGCCGAGTTCATGAGGTAATGTTATGCTGAAGGTTAACATTCAACAAAAGGTTAATATTATTATTAAAATCTAAGGTTCAGAGTTCAATCTTTTTTTTTCTTCTTCTTTTGCAATCACCCTTAAAATGGCAGCTCACACACTACGTTGTCATTTATAGCTAACACTGGTATTAGAATGACAGGCTTGGGAGTTCAGATCGGCATAGCAAAAATCGAGACGCACACCAGGCACATCAGAGGACTTTTTAATCAATATAGTAACTGGTACTATTAGCCACCGGACGCTGGGGTTTATACTGAGGGGAGGATCTGAGCACCTATGGACTTGTCTGGAGTGCAATAATGATAACCCAACCAACTAACTAACCTGCACTTTTCGACAATACATTAGATTACAGCAATCCATAAATTACATTTTACAATATGCTTTTTAAAGGAATTAATTAAAGAGCAGTGGGTATATTCCCCTCCAAATGGGGCACATAAATACGTGAAATGAAACTCATATAAGGTATATGACACATAAGCACATAAAAATGAAACATATATATGACAAATAAGAACACAAACATAAGAGGTGAGGGGGAAAAAAAAAGAGAGACAGAGATATGGACATATGCATGTATGTGACACATACATAATGGATAGAACAAGGGCAGTCTTGCAGGATGAAACCTCTATCGGTACGCATAACACATCTCAAATGGGCACAGTGGTGAACTACTCGGACAAAGCCTGTCATATGATGGATAGAACTAGAACATGTCTGTGACAAATAAGTACATAAACATGACACATATGTACAACACATGAAAACATAAATATGACACATGTGACACATAAATAAACACATATGTGCGACGCACAAATACATAAACAGGATACATTTTTGACATGGAAGTAAATAAACATGACATGCATTTACACAAACAATATATATATATATATATTTACTCTCTCCAATGCATTAAGAGGTTTCATTTTCCTCTTCAAGGCTTCTAGAAGATTCCGCTCTAGTCCACAATAAGGGGGAGTGACTTTAAGGGTGGCCACTGGGTCTCGAGTTTCCATCCACACTTTCTGGAATGCATCTTTGGCTGTATGGTCTAGGGCAAAGATAGCAGAACTGGCAATGTTAGTAGTGGCTAGGAGAAAAGGTGACACAGATGGTGGTCTACTGGCTATCTAAGACAGCAGTCAGAGGTCACCCTCCTGCAGGGGTCACCTTCCTTCCTGCACAGGTAGAATTTGTTGTCTAAATGTTTAATTTAGCTAGCATTTATCCCTGTGTGGGTTCTGGGGCCCTATTATAGGGAAAACAAGAATAGACCCACTGCCTACCCGAAAGCATGTCGTAAGAGTCGACTAATTGGGTGCATCCTTTGAAGTCGGAGTGCATCTGCCTGAGAGGCAAGGAACCAGAGGTCTGCACACAAATGTGTCAGATCTGTCAAATGAATGCACATGCAACACGCAGGTTCTGGAACTGGACTGCAGTCCAGAAGTGGACAAACAACCTGAACTTTCCACCAGAATTTTCAGCTGGTGAACGCAAAGAAGAAAGAAGTTGACATTTAGATCAGCTAGCCCTGCTACTTAGACACCCAAAAGTCTCTTTTCCAGAACAGCAAATGATTAATAGCATGTTCATCACCCTCTTTATGCTATCAGTGCAAAGAGGCACGCGCGCTCACGCACGTGTATACTTCATGTATGAATTCATTTGCCATTAATTCTTTCTTTACATTCACAATGAACAGGTCAGAATCTTGTTCTTAAAGTGCTCAACTGAAACAGACCTGGTGATTAACACTCTCCATCTGCTTTATGATCTGTTATTTTGCAGGATGATATCAATTTATACTTCCTCTGCTCTTTCAGTTTCCTACATACATCCTTACCAGTCTTTCCTCACATTCTCATCCATCATTTTCCCGTGTAAAGCTTTTTTTTCTCTACTTCACTTCACCTTCTGTTGAAATGTCTAACACATTCTTTTTGTATGTTTTTTTTATGGCTTTAAGGTAAAGGGGTTAAAGTTGGGTTTCATCCCATATTGCTCGGTCTTTTTTCACAGAAAGGCGGGCTATCTGCTGATGAGACCGTTACACAAAGCACAAACTCTCTAGCTCCAAAACAATCTCCGAGGATCTCCATAAAAAACTCCACCTCTGAAAGGAACAGCACAGTCCATGAAACAAACCCATGACCTTTAGAGTGCATGGCTTATGGCCTAACTGCTTAGCCGTGGGATGAGTGGTTATTTCTTTCTGTCCCAAACAACACACCATGTGACTGTTGGTAACTCCTTACAAGAAAGATTTCTTCTTCATTCCATGTCTCATCTTGTTTTTCAATTAACCTATTCTGTTTCTGTTTAGTAAGGTTATTATATGATCTCCATCAGATGCAATATTCTTTTTCTTCTTCGTGTTCACCATCTGTAAACTCCAGCGAAAAGTTCTGGTTGTTTGTCCACTTCTGGCCCAGAACTTGAATTTTGCATGCACATCCATTTTAAAGATCTGGCTTATCTGTATGCAGACTGTTGGTTCCTTGCCCCTCGGGCAGAGGTACTATGACTCCCAAGAAAACCCCTAATTAGACAACTCTTACAACATGCTGATCAGGGAAGTAGTGGGTACACACACACACTGAGGCCCTGAACCCACATGGGGAAAATACAATATTAATTTAAAATAACGTTTTTGGACAGAATAATTTTTAATAGAAATTACAAGATTCTTCTTCTTCTTCTGCGTTCATCCAAAGATGTAATGGCGTTGTGTCCGTTTACAGCATGGCTGCGATATTTGCACCTTTCGGCCAACACATCCGACTTCTGCGGGCATTTGTTGACCGGGTTAGCCTTCCCGGTTAGGACATGGCAGTCTCATTGTTGTGTGGTCATCTTTATTTCCCAGGTCACAGGTGGTGCCCCATTCAGGCTGGTCCAGAGAAGCCACATAATGCTGATCAGCCCTCAAGAGAAGGCAGAGGCAGAACATGAGCATTCCTCGTCATCCAAGGAGGCTTTCACAAATGTAAAGCTAATACATGGTGCTCTGGTACTGGACTCACTCACCCAAGGAATCGTCACGTCCTGCTCATGACTGTTTAACCTCACTTCCATATATTGAACATCTCATACATCATGAGCTATCTCTTTTGTAGCCAACATTATGCAGCCTGCAGACCCAGGATATAATTTTCCTACACCATAAAATTAGTAATTTGCTTCTTTTGCATGTTAGACTTTTACTGCAGTGGACTTCCTCATCCACTATAGTTTTACGTGGTTTATGAGCTCTACATCTCTAGGGACTATCAGCTTCCTCATCCATTACAAGATTTATTTTAAATAACGTCTTAGGATAGAATAATTTTAAACAGAAAATACAATATTAATTAAAATAACGTCTTTATACAGAATAATTTTTAAAAAGCCAATACAATATGAATTTAAAATAACGTCTTTGGAGAGAATAATTCTAAATTCCAACTGAGTGTGACTGAAAAAATTAAGTAACTCCTGCAGCCACCAGTACATCAACTAGACATTCACAGAACAGAACAGATCATGGACTTTTCGTAGCTTACCATCTCTGGGCTTTAAAATCAAATCCACAGCCTTTTCCCAATCACCATGAAGAAGTGCACTGTAGACACAAAGTTAATATATCTTGTCAAGTGAGGCAACTGTAAATTTATTCAAATCGTCCTGTCTTTTTCCTCGTTTATCGCCACAATATTACTAGGTTACTCTGTTATCAGTAATGTTAAAGACTTTTCTGTAAAATATTTATCAACATAATTTAAAGGATAGTAGATAAAATCCTCAGAGAAGAACAGGCAGTTTTTTTTACCTGAAAGAAGCTGATTAGGTCAAATAGTCACTCTGAAACTTATTTTTGATGTATTTATAAAAAAAAAAAAAAACTTATTCTGAATGTCATTGACTTTAAGAAGACTTCTTATAGCTTTCACAGAACATCACTATGGGAAAGTTAGGAATACGACAGTATACCAATGAAAATAATCATTATTAAGGCACTGTATGAAGGTTCGTCAGCTCTGTGGCTAAGTCAATGCGAACGATTCGTAATGATACAGGTTCGATCCCAGCTGCAGGCCATGCGCCTTGCGTTGGTTTCGACAGTAGTATCATGAAAGCTGACCGTCCAGAAAGCAATGGCAAACTACTGGACGTAAATCTGCCTAGAAAAACCACACAACCGCCGGGGGATGTTAGGGTTGGTTCTGCAACGTCCTGTAAAGGATATGCAACTAACCAGCCAAAGAAGGTTCAGAGTGTGCAGTGCGAAAAGATGACGGCTGTGCTTTGAAGTTGCAATGGAAATGAAACAGGGATGCATTTAATCTCTCATTATCTGGCAGAAACAATGACAAGGTGATGAAAAAATAGGTTGGGGACACCAGCACTGAGTAGGAAGATCTTGATGTTGCCAATGATGATGTTCTGTTAAGTAAAAATAATGACATGCCAAAGTGGTGAATTTTCCAAATATAGCATCAAAGGTTGCATTACAAATAAGTTATGACTAAACTAATACACTGAAGACACTAAAAAAAGACAAAGCAGATGTGATGGTAGAGACAAAGGTAATTAAAATAACAGATCAATTTACTCATTTACGTAGTAATTTTGATAGTGAAGTAAATGAAAGAAAGAAATTATGATATGCACTGGGAGGGCTTTTAATAGCCTGAACAAAACAATGAACTCTGAATTTTATAGTTTTAAAACCAAGTAACATATTTTCAATTCCAGTGTTACCTCAGTTACAACATATGCCAGTGACAGTCGGAGATCTACTAAAAAGAAGCAATGAAAGTTAAATGCATTTGAAAATAAATGCCTAAGAAATATGATGAACATAAAAAGGAATGAATTCAAAACAGGTGAAGAAAAGAGAGAAACGTCTGGGCAACCAGACCAGTAACTACAGTTATAAGACAGAGAACTGGACATATCCTGAGAAGAAATGAGAGAAACGTCTGGGCAACCAGACCAGTAACTACAGTTATAAGACAGAGAACTGGACATATCCTGAGAAGAAATGAGAGAAACGTCTGGGCAACCAGACCAGTAACTACAGTTATAAGACAGAGAACTGGACATATTCTGAGAAGAAATGAGAGAAACGTCTGGGCAACCAGACCAGTAACTACAGTTATAAGACAGAGAACTGGACATATCCTGAGAAGAAATGAGAGAAACGTCCGGGCAACCAGACCAGTAACTACAGTTATAAGACAGAGAACTGGACATATCCTGAGAAAAAATGAGAGAAACGTCTGGGCAACCAGACCAGTAACTACAGTTATAAGACAGAGAACTGGACATATCCTGAGAAGAAATGAGAGAAACGTCTGGGCAACCAGACCAGTAACTACAGTTATAAGACAGAGAACTGGACATATCCTGAGAAGAAATGAGAGAAACGTCTGGGCAACCAGACCAGTAACTACAGTTATAAGACAGAGAACTGGACATATCCTGAGAAAAAATGAGAGAAACGTCTGGGCAACCAGACCAGTAACTACAGTTATAAGACAGAGAACTGGACATATCCTGAGAAGAAATGAGCAATCATCAACACAGGCACTAAAATGGGAAATTAAGGGATTAAGGAGTTGAGGACAGTCAAGAGAAACCCTAAAATGAACATTGGTGAGATAGGCCAAAGGTGCTGGACTGGATTCAGTCCATGATATTGAACTGACTGCAGAGGACAGAGCTGAAATGTTATATGGTAGCTCAGTTACATATGACCAAGACACCTGACTGAAGAAATGGGATGACAAACCATCATCTTTTATGTTTACAGTCATGGCAAATACATAAGCAAATACAATATTATATTACTGAAATTATAACATACCTTTAAATGGTTGAAAGGAGCAGATACATTAATCAAATTTTCAAATTTAAAAACATCTAGCCAATTACTAGTATATGCTAGACCATGTCATACATAACAAACTAGATCAAACACATGATTCTTTAGCGAAACAGACATACAAACAAGACCCACTACTGACCAGCCAACTTTGTGTGTGGGCACTGAAGTGGTTCCGAACCGCTGCATTCCAAAATAATTCACAAGCCCAAAAGTTTTCAGAGAAGTAATGGCAGCATCAACAGTCTCTGAGCTGGCCATGACGTTCCTGGGATTTTTAACAAAAATCTTTAAAAATCAGAAATGCTGAGAGAAGATCTTTATCTAAACATTTCTTTGAAAAAATATTCAAATAAAACATGGCATAGGGTGTGTTACTTCCAAACAATTAGGAACTGTAAGCATACATATTTTTTATGCAAGATCGTTAATACTGAAGCATTCAGAAAGGAAAACATGCACACATTAGCATTCATTTTTAGTTTATAAAACAGTAAAAGTAATGAATCCCTTTACACCAGTGGTGTATCCGGCATTGGATACTAAAATCATAGTCGTTTAGATCTATCAGCCCTCAATGGATGATGTAGTCAACATCATACCGGCCACTTTTACTTCCCAGGATATAACCTCGTACCCATTTTAGGCTTGATGGTGGTGGGGGGTAAGGTCAATTCTGAAACAAAGTCTTGATGCGGATTTAAACCAAACACCTCTGGGTAGGAAAGTAAACATCTAGCTGCTACACCAATGTGGCTCCCAAAGGCATCGTTTTTAACCCACTGACTACCAACGTCGCACGTAATGCGACGAGGCGACGTTTACTTCCTTCTGCCAACGTCACACCCTTTGCGATTTTAGCTTTGGACGCTCGCCGTCATGTTAAAATCGCGATTTTTATGATGGATTCAGTTGAAACCTCTAGCTTATTCATTTCTGTATGGTTAATTAAGGGAAATAACTCCGTGCTTGAAGTAAATATTTTACGATTTTTTTTAGTTAGCTCCCATGACAGTGAGACATTGACGAAAAATTCATCATGGCGTCAAATTATCGGAACCATCGTGGTGGCCATATCTCTCCTAATTTTTCTAATGATGCATTAGATTTTCTTGATTTTGCTTCAAAAAGTGCATCTGAACAGTTTGATGGCTATGACTATAATAAATTTAACGAAGTGCCATTCAAAACATCGTCGACAAATCCTCAACAATCCAGCAGAATGTACACAGAGAGAAAACAGAAACAGCAAAGATCAAATGACAATATGTCAACAGTGTACATACATACCTGAGAACAATAGTGAACTGGTTTCCCATCAACTGTCCAAGCTTTAATGGTTCCTTGACATACCTAAGTTAAAAATTCAGAATAAAGTTAATGAAACCAAAATGTATTAGATTAATGAACAAAATAGAGGACATTTTCATATTCTTCAGTTGTTCACTAAATTTCTTTATAATCTCTTTAGAGTTACACTCTCCTCAGTTTAAAAAAAAAAGGGGTTCCTTAAATCCTTAAATTGCATATATGCCTAAACAAAACCAATATAATCATTACTTGTTATATAAAATGCACACCACAACATAAACTTTGTTTTACTTCAATCATGATAAAACACTATGGATTGGTTAATGAATGATTTGCCATGCTCAGCTGGGTATTCCAGCCAGTAAAAGATGCAAACATTGCAGCTTTACTCTGACTTCTAAGTCAACCAGTCTGAAATGTGTATGGAGAAATGATCCAGGAAGTAAAGATGACAGATGTGACACTAACAAAATCCATCATCAAGTGCTCACAGCCCTATGAAAAAAGTGGCTAACTATATACTCAAAACATCAAAGGAGTGGGAGAAAAAAAATGACATTTACCCACACTACACAAACAGCCAACACAAACCAGCGCAATTTTAAAGAATAAATATGGAAGAAGAAAGAAGCAAACAAGATTTCGCAGGGACTTTTTGTCTAGTAACTAGTATTCAAATGGGATAGTGATGGGCACTTTGTGTGCGATTTTCACTGGCACAGGAGTAGAGAAATTATAGGGTGATTCGTTTGCAATGAAGAAAACATTGATTACTCTTTTCACAACCTCACGATACCTACACATGTTCATTATCAGCCCTAATTACCCCAGTAGCGTATCGGTGACAGTGGATACATTACATACATAGACAAACAAGGGTATGAGACTTACTGGAAGTTGCCAAGGCCGATATTCCGTAAAATCTTGTTCATAAAAGACAGTTTCTTGGGATGTATTCTGTTGTTAGAAATGGAAGAAATATATAAAACATCACGAGGAACCACAGGATTTGTAATCAGCAAAAATACCACGAACTGTAAAAGATTCTCCTGCAGTTCCCTTTTTGACATAAAGAAAGGTCTGTTTGTGCCAACTGACTTGGTGTTACTGTTTACAACAATTAAATGTTACGTGACCTACAAAACAACCTGATGAGCATCCCCATGACACATATATGCTCAGTCCTCTGATGCAGAAGCCATCAAATGAAAGTTCTCATTAGAAATTTACTTCTTTTTTCTTCTATATTCGCTCACGAACCTTTCGCCCCCCAGAAGCCTAAATCTGCCCACTTCTGGCTCAGCAATTGCCCACACATGCTGATAAATGGAACTATTTACAGTGAACTTTTCTTGAAAAGCGCAATTAAATTTCACTGGTCAAGTTTGTGCCTGCAAGATGATTCATGGATCTGCTCCTGTGTGACTGATCTCTTTCTTCTTAAAAGGATGACTGTCACATTGTAGTTTACAGCTACACTGTGATATCTGTACCTTTCAGCCAAACCATCATTAGTTTATGACATGCTTAAGAGGCAGTGTCCTCCCCAGGAGGGCTCTAGAACTCACATGAGCAGACTGACATCTAAAAAATGGGCTCTTTAAAATTCTAAAATACCCCCTGTAGCAGTCCTGCAGGAGAAATACAGAGAAAGAAAAACACATCTGTAGAATGAGAACTAAACATGTGAATCACCTGTGTGCAGTTATTTCTTGAGATGTCTTGGCTCGTTTATCTTTAGTACCTGCATACTGAAACAGGTTTTCTTTTAACCTAGGAAACATGATTTATCAAACAATGAAATATTTCATTAACATATTCATAAGTTAACATTTTTAGATGTCAAATTAAAAACTCATTTATTAACATAATCCTGACAATCTCATTTGTGAACGAAAATATTATTAAACATTTCAAGGTTGACTAACTGTGATGATTTGACAAGCCTAGATTTCCATGGACCTTTTCAATTAATGTTTTTGGGAAAAGTGTAACGTTAGCCAAAGAGAACTTGTGTTGGATGTTTTTTGGAGGAAACCACTTTTCGAAGTAAAATCAGGAAACATGAATAATATGACCACTAGGATGGTTCCGAGATTTCCGTCAATGTCTCCCTGACATGGGCGCTAACAATGAAAATTTGTCAAATATTTACTATAAGCAATGCAAAGTTATTTCCCTTAAATAATCATACAGAAGTTATTGGGTTAACAGTTTCAACTAAATTCATCGTAAAAATAGCAATTTTAACATGACGCCGAGCATTTAAAGCTACCATCGCAAGGGTGGCGACCTTGGCAGCAAGAAGTAAATGCTGTCTTGTATAACGTGCAACTCTGGTAGTCAGTGATTTCACCTATAATAAAAATTACCATGCCACTTTGGAAAATCCCTTTTCAAATATTGTTTAAAAACCTAATCCAAGCCAAATACTTACTTCAAATTGTTTGCAATAAGTCCAATTGCATCCATTGTATCCTTGTTCTCCTTGTACAAAACAAATTTCACATACTTAAAATCTTTCTTTGTCTCTGGCCAGTCATCTCTATTGTTGCCACGAGATTTCCCTGCAAAAGTTTCAACAGCCATATGTTTGAAATCATTATCATTCTGAATAACACAAGAAAATGGCATGCATAATCTTCTATAAAATGTGATCACCTGTGTGCAGTTATTTCTTGAGATGTGGCTCGTTTATCCCTTGAGAAACAGGTTTGATTTCCTAGGAAACATGGTATATCAAACAGCTTTGGATTTGTATGTAGATGTCAATATTTAATCCTGGCAATCTCATTTGTAAAATTTATTAAACTTCAAGGTTGACTAACTGTGAGTGATTTGACAAGCCTCATATTCATGGACCTTTTCAATTAATCATATTTTTTATAAAAGTGTTTAGCCAAAGAGATGTCTTTGGTAAAACCGCTTAAGCAAAACTGTGGGTGAAAAATATGACCACTAGATGGTTCAATTTCCGTCAATGTCTCGGGTAACAATGAAAATTCATCAAATTTTCCCCAAAGCCTAATTGGCAGGTTTACTGGGTGTGGCCACATGTGCCGAGCATTCCCTACAATCGCAAGGGTTCCTCAGCAAGAAGTAAAGAAACGGCAACAGTGATTTTAACTTTCTAAAAACATATAAACATAAAATAACTGGAGGAAAATCACTGTTCAAATATTGTGTAAAAGCTCCAAGCCAAAACTTACTTCAATTGTTTGCAATAAGTCCAAATCCATTGCTGTTTTTTACTTAAAATACCAATTTATATGAGTGTTTGTTGAGTCTGCAGCATGAATAACAATAGATAACATATAATTTCATAAAATGTAACTCCAATTGTCACGTTAAATTTCCAGAACGGTAACTATAAAGCTTTCTTCTTCTTCTTCTTGGTTGCAATGGATCCCCAATACTCAATAAAGGCTGGCTGCAAGGATCCCCAACACTCAATAAAGGCTGGCTGCAATGGATCCCCAACACTCAATAAAGGCTGGCTGCAAGGATCCCCAACACACAATAAAGGCTGGCTGCAAGGATCCCCAACACTCAATAAAGGCTGGCTGCAATGGATCCCCAACACTCAATAAAGGCTGGCTGCAAGGATCCCCTACACACAATAAAGGCTGGCTGCAATGGATCCCCAACACTCAATAAAGGCTGGTTGCAATGGATCCTCTACACACAATAAAGGCTGGCTGCAATGGATCCCCAACACTCAATAAAGGCTGGCTGCAATAGATCCCCTACACACAATAAAGGCTGGCTGCAAGGATCCCCTACACACAATAAAGGCTGGCTGCAATGGATCCCCTACACACAATAAAGGCTGGTTGCAATGGATCCCCTACACACAATAAAGGCTGGTTGTAATGGATCCCCTACACACAATAAAGGCTGGCTGCAATGGATCCCCAATACTCAATAAAGGCTGGCTGCAATGGATCCGCTACACACAATAAAGGCTGGCTGCAATTGATCACCAAAGCTCTCTGACTTGCTGCACACACTCTCTCAGAATTTTATTCATCCACTCCTGTTGTGTTTTCACCGGTATCAATCTATATCTCTTGCTCGCCCTTCAGTATAAATGTTTTTAGAAGATTTGTCTTTTCATATGACCTAACTCTTTCATTTATCACTCCTTTCTTTTTTCTTCGTGTTCAACGGCTATAAACTTTGGTTGGAAATTCTAGGTGTTTGTCCACCTCCGGACTTTACTCTTGTTTCAGAACCTAAATGTTGCGTGCACATCCATTTCACACATTTGGCTTACTTGTATGCAGACTCTTGGTTCCTTGCCTCTCAGGCAGATGAACTTTGAAGGATGCAGCGAATTTGTTGACTCCTACGACATGCTTGTTGGGGAGGCAGTGGGTCTTTCTTGTTTTCCCCACAATGAAGCCCCAGAACCCAGATGGATATTATTTCTTTCAACAACTCTCTTTTCATTTCCAGCCTATCCAGAATCTCTGTATTTCATTTGGTTTTTCCCTTGAATACCATCCTATTCTTTACACCCACATTCTAGTATCCCATTTCAGCGCTCACTAGTTAGTTTATTGCCCAGGATGGCAGTTAAATGGCAGGAAAGAATATTTTAGCAATTACCTGTCTTCCAGACAACCTGTATCACCTTGTGACCATCTATGTCTGCTGTTTTAGTCTCCAACTGCGTGTACGTTGTTTTCACTGCAAGGTGGATTTTAGTGCGGGCTTCCTTGTCTGAAGGTGCCTGTGAGAGGTCAAAAGTCGCTCTTTTAAAATGTTTAAATGTAACAGGAATAACTTGACTGCAGTGGGTTTCATGTGGAGGTTCCTCTGCCTCTCTGTGGAAGGACTGTTCATGTACAGCGAGTCCCTGTGAGGGCTCTGGAGCCTTAGTAGGTGGGAGAAGAGACCCAATACCACTTAACAGGCATGCCTGGAAAGGTGCCTAATTAAGGGCTTGTTGAAATCAGATGTTGGGCAGAAATGTGCAAATATCAAAGCCTAGCTATAAACAACAACACAAAGTTCAAACTGCCCTTTTAAGGGTCAGCGTAGAAGAAGATACATATTCAGTTAAAACATGCTTCTTATATGTAAATCGTACAAAGTGATTAGGGATTGTTCTTAAACTGGATGTGTTGGCTTGAAAGGCACATATATCACAGTCTAGCGCTAAACCACATCATGTGTCAACTGCTACTTTAATGGCTAACACAGAAGAAAAGGTTAACAATTTATCAGAAAGCATTGAGTTGAAAATGTATTACAAAATCAAAAACTGAGATTTTTTTCATGTGTTGTATGCATGATGTTAGTGTTTTTAAAAGAAGTGGCCACTAAATGGACTTGCCTTAAGGACAGAAAGGTCGTCAATCGTGACGGCGCATAGCTGAAGATGGGTTACTGGGTGACAAAATAATCATTACAGGATCACTGAGACCTTGACCTGACTAGAGGTCACCAGGTCAGCTTAGACAGTTTAGAAAGACAGCGTGACAGCCAGTTGACATCAACTTAGGACAGCGGGACAGTCAATGGACATCAACTTAGGAGACAGTCATATAAGAGAATGGAGTGAATGATTTCAAAAGAAAGACAGTACAATCGTAGGAGAAAGTGCATGAGCAATTGTGTTGTGTAAATATCCTGATTAATAAACTGTAGAAAAGGTAGCTACAATTGTTGCAGCTACTTGTGTAGAAGAAAGTGGCTGTGTGGGAGATGGGGTGCCGGAGGTGACCTATAATTGGGAAATGCATGGACCCAGGGACATAAAGTGGGTCATAACAATGATAATGAAATACTCACAATGATATTTAGAGATGCCTTTTTGTCTTCATTCTTCACAAAGTCCTCCAACTTTGCTATGTCTTCATCACTAATAACATCCGTTGTTATCTTCTTGTCCACCTGGTAACATTTAACAATAATTTCACAACCAATTACAATCACACACAAAAAGAAAAACGTATAATAAAGAGCCATGTTCATGCCATATGTGTGTGATGACCTTGCTTTGCGTGGTCTCCAATCTCACAGCAAGTCAAGCAGAAAATCTGTGCAACAAATGACCGCACAAGATACTTGGGGTGAAAAGGTAAAAGAGGGAAAGTCCGAGGGTGACTCGTGGTCAGTTGTGTACCAGAGTTGGAAGAAGACAGTCGTGATGTCGTCAATGTAGTTTGAATTAAGTGTAGTCAACGTTGAGTAAATGATTATTGTGGCATAGCTGTGGAAGTGAACAGTGATGATGTTAGTTGAGTAACTGTGATGGAACAGGAGAAATAAACTGGCAGAATGTATATCGGAATTTGAGAGGCGTTCCAGTGTTGTCAATTGTTGAAAGCTGTATTTTTTCCAGATTAAATCAGCTATATTTAAAGTGAGTCAGCTTTCTTACATTGTGCATATGGTGCCAGATCAGTTTTAAAGACCAGTCACCTTTCAATGGGACATGAAGTCAACATCATGCTAGCCACCTTTACTTTACCGCCACGCAAGGAGACTTCCATAAATGCAGAACAGATGCATGGTGCTCTAGTATTGAGCTCACCCTAGGAATCGTCATGTCCTGCATATGACTGCTCAACTTCACACAGATTTACTGAGTCAGCCATTCGCCTTATGCTCTGAAAGTTGTGGTTTCATTTTTCTTCTTCTTCTTCTTTCGTTCGCATGAAATAAATTGTCTATATCTGCAAAGCCGTCTCTAGTATGAATTTCACTGTCTTTTGTAATTCACTAAGCGGCCCGTAAAGTTTGACCTCCACAAGTGTCTCTTTTGGCCAAAGGTTTTGCCTGAAAGCGTTGAATCTGGGACAGTCTTGAAGGATGTGATCTGTTGTTTCGGGTGCCAGTCCACAAGTACACCATGGCTGATTGGCCAATCTTAAATTAACCAGTTGTACATGTGTATTAGAGCGAAGTCGATTAAGACTGCCCTGTTCGAAAGGCGAAGGATAATGACTTGCTTCTGGTCTGTCCATAATATGGTTTAATCATCTTGTGCCAATTTTCGGTGGCATTCTGATTGATTTGATCATTCTCTTCTTCTGTTGATAAGAGACTGGTATGTCAGGTTGTTCTTCAGTTGCAAACCTTCTTTAGCTAGTTTATCAGCTCTTTCGTTTCTGGGAACTCCACAGTGGGAAGGTATCCCACTGCATTACTAATCTTACAGCGGCCCTTGCCTAGTTCGGATAATAGTGTCCGTACGATGGTTTGGTAATGTTTCCAGAATGGGAGTGACTGCCAAGTACTGCTTTTGCATCTGTCAGGGAATACCACTGGTTGTGAAAAATACCTGGGTATTTAGTAGTTTCTCCTACCGCTATCTTGGATGGCTTGAACTTCTGCAGAATAGTTGTGACAGTGCTTTCCCGATGGTAATTTGGCTGTACACCCCTGGTATTATTAGGATACTCAATGTACACTCCTGCACCTCCGTTTCTGACAGTGCGCTTTCTGCTGACCCATCTGTGTAAACACGGACCCAAAGGTTCTGTGGGTATTCATCATCAAGTAGACTGAGGGTGGCTGTTTTGCGCTGCACACTGTTTTATTTCTTCCTTGTCAAATACCCCTTTCACTTCAGTCTTGATGTGTATTGGAAAGCATATACTCCTCTCTCCAAGGGGTCCGTTCTGGGACAGCATTTAAGGATCTATCAGTTGCAGGTAAATCAGTGGTTTGTCTGCCGAGCCGTTTGGCCTGGTGGATAAAACTACTTCTCTTTAGTCGTCCCAAAGCTAAATTTTTGAATCTTTCATTCATAGGGTGACTGGGCATACTAAGAAGGTTTCATTTTAAAGCAGCGCATTTCAGTTCATGAGTGAAATTTTTAGAGATCCCTGGGGATCATCTCCGGAGCTCCGAAGCTCGTGCTATGGAAAGAGACTGTGAGCTACATGGGATAAAATCCGGTGGAATGAAGTCGATCCTCTCACTTCAGATTTACTGAGCCTTCTACTCATTAGGGGCTGCACCATTTAGGGAAAGGAGCAGTCCGCAGATACAAGACTTTCATGAGCTTCACAAAATGGGCATTTCATTTCCTCAGCATGTTAGACTTCTGTTGTAGCCAGTGGTATATTTCACAAGGGTGCCTCAGGACACTTAGCAAGGCAGTATTTGGAATGATCGCATCAGGCATAACTTCCCCTTACAACTACTGCTTCCAATAACACCATTATTACTGCTTCTGCTACTACTCATACTGCTGCTATAACAACAACACAACAAAAGTATTAACCTGTTTTGATTCAGCAACAGGTTCCTCATCAAGATTGTCTATATCCATCTGTGTCAAGTGAACTACATTTCCCTGCCGATCAATCTCATTCACTATAAAATCTGAGTATCTGAAACAACATTTCATTCAGCTGCTAAAAGGTTAAATCATCATAACTTTTAATGGAAAAATTTAAGATATAAATAAAACTTTCAAACAAACTAGTTTAACATTTAAAGCAGGTCTTCCACCTTTGGTCAACAAAAGACGTTTTAAATGATTAATGTGCTCCACGTGTGGGTTCTGAGGCCAAATTTTGAGGAAAGGTGGGGGGGGGGGGGGGGGGGGGGGGGAGATCCACTCCTGCTTAACAAGCAGGTGATAAAATTAACTGTTTGTTGAAATCAGATATGTTAGGCTGAAAAAGGCAGATACTGCAGCTTGGCTGTAAACTCTAACCTAATGCTCCAAGTGTGTTTTTACTTCTTTTTCTGCTGTTATCTCATGGATACCAGGTTGCAGCCCGCAGTGGTTTTCTGTATTTGCCTTGCTCCTCTCGTGTGGCTTGTGTGATGGATTTGTTTATTTTTCTGCAAGTTTCAGCTACACCATTTATCCACCTCTCTCTTGGTTTCCCCCCTCATGTTCCTCCCAGATGATCTGCTGTAAAACATGTCATATGCAGTTTGGTCTGGCTGCATTCTCACTAGATGGCCTAAACTATTTCATCCTTTGTCAATATAATCCAGACATGGTCTAACTCCAACTTTCTCTCCAATGCTGGTATTTGTAACTGTCCCTTTCATGTTGTTAGTGGACCACATGGCGCATTTCATAAGTAATTTTTTTCTGTTCTGGTGCCGTATTCATTGTCAATGTTTGGCACAGATAGCATAAAGTAGGGATGAAGATGCTATTCGTCATTTGATGTTTTGCGGAAGAGAGACATTTTGGGTGTCTAAGCAGTGGAGCTAGCCGGCAAGTGACATTTGCCTTCTGTACTCTGGCTTCTCTCTCTCTATCTGATCTACTATTTTCTGTGAACATGCTTAGATATTTGAATTCTTCGTACTTGTTCGATTGTAGTACCACTGACATGATGAATGTTCATGTTAATATGTTTCCCACCTATTCTCATTACCTCAGTTTTTGTGGTGTTTATTTTCATATTATACTTTGTGCAGTTTTAATATAAGGGGTTAACATAGCAAAGGACACTTTTCCACACCTTCAAGCGTACTGGGCATTTGGGGCTAGACTTATGTTTTACAGGCCAACTGGCACAGGGTGAGTGATGTGGACAGCATCACGTCAGCCGCCTTTACTTCCAAGGACTTTACCCACTCCAGGCAAGGTCATTTTGAAAAAAGTTTGGCCCTTTTGGCATTAAGGGACTTAGACTTATGTTTTACAGGCCAACTGGCACAGGGTGGGTGATGTGGACAGCATCACGTCAGCCGCCCGAAATCCACAAGGTCATTTTGAAAAAACCTTCAGATATGCAGGTGAGCACTGAGCCACTACACCATGACAGCTCAATATGGTGTTTTAAATTTCTTGGTGGTGTACTGGACACTGATCGTCTGCAAACAGCAGTTCATTAATTTCCTGAGTGTCTGTAATTGTCTTCTATGTTCTGTCCATGTAGGTAATGAAGAGCAATGGTAAGAGGACACACTTGAGAAGACGGGGAACCAATCTGTCATTCTTTATCCTGTTCTTACTGTGCACTGCAGTGATTATATTGACAAAGAGCCATGATGTTATCCAGCAACTACCAACCAGGTCAGTTTTTTTGTCTGGCCCAGTCACGCGACGAGCCTAGCAATCCAGTAGCGGTGTAATCAACCGCTGCTACACAAGAAAGAATGAATTAATTACATGAATTATAGGACTGACCTTTACAGGGTGGATTAAACAACAAAAAAGAAGAAAAAGAAAAAGATGACGATGAAGGATGATGAGAAGAAAAAGGAGAAGAAGAAGATGAAGAAGCAGAAGGAGCAAAAAAGAGGAGGAGGAGGAGGATGAGGACAAGAAGAAAAAGAAGAATCCAAAGAAAAAATAACAAATGTTTGGTTGTATTTCTGCACGTTTTCCTTTACCTCCACTGAACTTCTAAGTTACTGTCTGTGTTGTATTTAGTTACCACCACAGTAATGTAGAGAATCAACAAAATTACTAACAGTTACAACATGCAACAACTATTGACACAAACATACCTCTGTTTGATTATAGCACTGAAGCCTTTATGACTGCCCATGTACTCGGTAATGCCTGCCTGGATCTCTGTTAAAGGTGCTGGCTTCTCCGAAGAACTATATTTAGTATCTGCCGATGCAGCGCCATCACAAGGTCTACATACAATATCCTTCTGCTCATCAGAACCTACTAACAGAGCGGCATTACTTTCTGAGACTTTCTTCACACTGTCCTTTGCTATATCTTCTCCTGATTGAGATGAAATGATGGTCGGATTGCTAGCTGGCTGATTTAATTCTAGACGTATCTTCTTACATGGCGGATCACCATCGTTACCCGTTATCTCCAAATTATTTTTTTTGAACTTACATTTCCAGCTGCTGTTACTTCTACAGTATGCATGTGCATGTTCCCTGTACTACTCGTTTTGTTAACATCGACTGAGTTCATTTCTACAGCACCATCACAATGATCAACATGTTCCAGTGTGCTCATTTCACATGTTGTTCCTTCTGGATTCAGTGTGTTCATTTCACATGTTGTTCCTTCTGTATTCAATGTGTTCATTTCACATGTTGTTTCTTCTGTCTTCAATGTGTTCATTTCACATGTTTCTTCTGAATTCAATGTATTCATTTCACATGAAGTTGCTTCTGTATTCAATGTATTCATTTCAATTGAAGTTGCTTCTGTATTCAGTGTATTCATTTCACAAGTTTCTCCTTCAGCATTCAATGAGTTCATCTTATACGCTGATTCCACACTATTCATTTCTACTGTGCCCCCATTTTCATTTACCAATGTTTCACAGCTGCTCATTTTCCATGTTTCTGTCTCTGTGCTATTAATTTCAACAGTGTCGTTACTTTGATCAGACATAACTTCCATCATACTGGCTATCTTATTATCACAAAGTCATCAGTCTGTACTTATTACTGCAGTGCTGCTGCTTTCCAAAGATTCTTTACTTGTCCTTCTCTCTGGTAATATATGTTCACAGTATACACACCATCGGCTTATATCCTTGACAACAAGTAAACTCCAAAATCAGAATTCCCTTAAACCTGAAGGCAACAAATATTAAGTATATAAAGAGGGTGACAATAAAATAGCACATAAAGTTAGAAATGTCAAGATAAAGGTGGGAACCCACATTAGCATAGCTGCTTGACACTTGCTTCCCAGTCCAAAGGTCCTGAGATCTCTTCTTCTTCGTATTCACTGACTGTCAAACTCTGTCGGAAAGTCCTGGTTTTTCATCTGCTTCTGGACTTTGATATTGTTCTAGATCTGGAGTTTTGCATGCACATCTTTTTTACATCATCATCATCATAAACCACTTCTGTCGTTCAGCGTGGTGGGGAGGAATAGTTTGCGATACAGTGCATGCTGGCTGCCACTTGCTACTGTCATGCCGTGAAGGCGTAGAGTGTCTTTAATGTTGTCAATCCATAGTTTTTGTGGCCATCCTCTATCTCTTTTACAGAGCTAACTTATTTTTATGCAGACTATTGGTTCTTAGCCTCTCAGGCAGATGCACTTTTGACTTTGAAGGAAGCCCCTAATTAGTCGCCTTTTATGACAAGCTCACTGGGGGATGGTGGGAATATTCTTTTTTTTCTTCCACACGCCATGGGGAAATAGGAAAAAGCAAAACTGAATTCTTCTTCTTCTTCTTCTTCACTTCCTCTTTTACCGCTGTGGGTGTCGAGGGTGATATAAGGTTCTGTTTCTAGCTCTTCTGGCCGCCTCGACCATAGGCACATTGTGCTGTTGTAGAGTTTCTCTGATCTTATCCTTCCATCTTGTTCTTGGTCTACCTCGTGCTCTATGTCTTTCTTTTCTTTCCATGTATGCTTTGTATGGTATGGTGTCACAAGGCATTCTCTCTAAGTGGGCAAACCATTTCACTTGCTGTCTTCGTATGTAATTTAGAATTGGTTCTGTGCCGACCTTTTCTCTTATGATCTCATTCCTGATCTTATCTCTTATGGTCACTCCCACAGCCCTTCTCAGACATCTCATATCCATGGTAAATTGAAGTAATTAATGCAAAAACAAAAAAGTGGTGTTTAAAGGTGAAAAGATTAGACTCCTTGAGACAGGTTTTATCCTAAATGGCTTAGTCTCCCTCCATAGAGCAGCTGGTCAACTTCAAGAGGGTTGTACAAATCATAACTCCACACTCTAACAATGCCCCCACCCCCATTTCAGATTTCCGAAACATCTACACTCATCAACCAAAGGGTAGAGTCTAAAATCAAACCAACATTCTTCAGAGTAAAACTGATTGTTTCAGGTTCCCATTTAAAGATTTTTTTTTGGGAAGGGGGGGGGGGGGGGGGGGGGGGGAGAATAGACACTGCCCTCTAGCAAGTATGTCATAAAAGGTGACTATGAGTTCACTGAATGTGTTGGACTAAAAGGCTCAGACATTGCAGCCTAGCTGTAAACCAAAAGACAATGTGCCAAACACGCCTATAAGGGAGAACACAGAACAGAAGAGTATATGGTAAAAGGCTTAACCACTGTCATGAAGAAAACCCCTATAAATAAACACA